TGCCACTATTGCTCGCATCGACCCTCCCTTAAAACACTTGCCGGGCTGGACGGCACAATCTCGTTGATGTCCACGTCGTCCGGCTGTCGGATGGCAAGGCGATGGCATGCCCAACCGACGCCGCGGGAATGGCTTAGTTGTAGAAGTCCAATACCGTAAGGTCCGTGGCGGTGCCTGGAGGTGCTGTGTTTGAGGTCGCTGTCTACGCGTCGGGGGCGATCGAGGTCGACCGGACCTTCGCCGACTTCCGCGCAAGCCTTCGAAATGGCGCTGACGGCGACCGCGGCTCGAATAAACCGCTGCCGGGTAAACACGACTTGACCCCGGCCACCGAACTCAGGTGTGATGATGCGGCTCTCCCAGCTAGAGAAGGCGGCAGAGCAGCAATGCCAGAGCAGCGCAACTCTGAGGATGACGTGTCGATCATCGCGTTCCATTCATCGGGTTGACTTCCGACATCGGGCGGATCGGAAACGTGGCCGGTATTGCTGATCAGCCAACGTCGGGTTCTGCCGAAGTTCGGCGACAACCGCAGCTTCACTGCTGTCACCGTTGCTTTTGCGACGTCGGAGCGGCACAGGCCTTCTGGCGATGCGGACCTTGCGAGGTGATTCCGCCACCACCGCTTCCAGTTTGTCCTGGCGGCGTGCAGCAATCGCCACCGGCGCCCCGGGAGGCGAGCAGCCTGCCACTTGCACTGGGATGCCAGCTGCCACCGGTGATCAATACGACTTTTCTTCCAATACCTTGGCTCATGACAGCACCTTTTTCACGTCAAATTCAGGAGGCGTACAGCGGGTAATTCGGTGAAGCTTTGCTCGCCACCGCCATACAGGTGGTCCAGGCACCCAATGCCAGCCCCGGCGATGCGCCGGGGCAGATCGGGGTTGGCGATAAAGCGGGCGGCCGAACGGGCAATCAGGTCGGCCAGGCCCGCGTCCACAGGCGCGCCGCGCTTCGGCGGGTGTACAGGCCGGCATACATGACTTTGCCGCTGAAGGTGCTTCTGACCTCACGGCGAAACGCTTCTGGCAGGTCCGAGCGTTCGGCCAGTCGGTCGCGGGCAATCGACAGGTAGCGCGATACCGGCCCTTCCAGCACCTTGATGGCTTCGATGTAAGGTCTGGATGCGGATCTTCTTCGACGAAGCCGATGTACACGCGGTCTTCGTCAGTGCTGGTGAATAGCGGCGTAAACCGGACGCCAACACGATCAGGGCCAACCACGGCGCTGACGGCCTGTACGACTTCGCGCAGGGAAACGCAGGCGGTTGTGCAGCGAACCGCCGTATTCATCCGTGCGCTGGTTGGCGTGGGCGGAGATGAACTGGTTGACCAGGTAGCCGTTGGCCGAGTGAATTTCAACGCCGTCGAAACCGGCGCTGAGCGCGTTGCGTGCCGCCTGGGCATAGGCTCCACCAGCGCTTTGATTTCCGTCACGCTCAGTTCCCGTGGCAGGGACGGCTCAACCAGCGTGCCGGTACCCGGAGCGGTTTCGATGAAGGCCTTGACCTTCTGGGCCTGGATCGCCGACGGCGCGATGGGCGCTGCGTTGTCCGGTTGCAGGTCGGTGTGGGACACCCGGCCGACGTGCCACAACTGGGCGAATATCACTCCGCCTTCAGCGTGCACGGCGTCGGTAACCGTGCGCCAGCCGTCGATCTGCGCCTGGCTGTAGATCCCCGGCGTCCAGGCATAGCCCTTGCCGCGCGGCTCGATCTGGGTGCCTTCGCTGATGATCAAACCGGCGCTGGCGCGTTGCTGGTAATAGGTGGCCATCAGGGCCGTGGGCACATCGCCGGGCTGGCCGCCGTGCGCTGGCGCGTCAGGGGCGGCATGACGATGCGGTTTTTCAGGGGCAGGGGGCCGAGGGTGGTCGGTTCAAACAGGGCGCTGTGTTGCATGGGTCGATTCCTTTTTTGCGTCAGTCGGGCTTACAGACCGCCGAGGCTGAGGTACTTGAGGTTCAGGTATTCGTCGAGGCCGTGGCTTGAGCCTTCGCGACCGATGCCGCTGTCCTTGACCCCGCCGAACGGGGCTTCCACGGTGGTGATCACGCCGGCGTTGATGCCGACCATGCCGCTCTGCAGGGCACGGGATACGCGGAAGGTGCGCGCCAGGTCACGGGTGTAGAAGTACGCGGAGAGGCCCGAATTCCGACGCGTTGGCGGCGTCGATCGCCTCTTGCTCGGTGCTGAAGCGGAACAGCGCGGCTACCGGGCCGAAGGTTTCTTCGTGGGCGATGAGCATGTCCGAGGTGGCATCGGCGATCACGGTCGGCTCAAAGAAGGTCGCGCCCAGTGCGTGGCGTTTACCGCCGAGTAACACGCGCCCGCCTTTGGCTTGGGCGTCTTGAACGTGGGCCTCGACTTTGCCGACGGCAGCCTGGTTGATCAGCGGGCCTTGTTCGACGCCGTCCTCGAAGCCGTTGCCGACTTTCATCTGGCGCACACGTTCGGTCAGGCGGCGGGCGAACTCGTCGTAGATGCCGTCCTGCACGTAGAAACGGTTGGTGCACACGCAGGTCTGGCCACTGTTGCGGAATTTGCCGGCGACGGCGTTTTCCACGGCCAGGTCCATGTCGGCATCGTCGAAAATAATCGTCGGAGCGTTGCCGCCCAGCTCCATGGAAAGTTTTTTCATGGTGTCGGCGGATTGTTTGTAGAGCAGCTTGCCCACGCGGGTCGAGCCGGTGAAGGTGATTTTGCGCACCAGGGCGTTGGACGAAAACTCGCCACCGACGGCGGCACCGTCACCGGTCACCACGTTGACCACACCGGCAGGGACCCCGGCCAGTTGTGCCAGTACGCCATACAGCAGGCCGGAAAAAGGCGTGAACTCGGAAGGCTTGATGACGATGGTGCAACCGGCGGCGAGGGCCGGGGCGATCTTGCGTGAGAGCATGGAGAACGGGGAAATTCCACGGCGAAATCGCGCCGACCACACCGACGGGCTCGCGGGTGACCAGGATCTGGCGGTCCTTCCACGGCGACGGAATGATCTCACCGTTGATGCGCCGTGCTTCTTCGGCAAACCACTGGATGTAGTCGGCGCCGAGTTTCATTTCGTTGCGTGCTTCGGCCAGCGGCTTGCCTTGTTCGAGGGTGAGCATGCTGGCGAGGATATCGAGGTTGTCGCGCACGATCTGCGCCATGCGGCCGAGAAAGCCTGCGCGTTCTGCGGCGGTGGTCATCGACCAGGTGCTGAAGGCGTCTTGAGCGGCGTCGATGGCGCGGCGTGTTTCAGCAGCGCCTACCCACGGGATCTGGCCAATCTGGGCTTCGGTGGCCGGGTCTATGACGGGGTAGACATTGGCGTCATCCGCCGCCACCCACTGACCACCGATGTAGTTGGCTTCCTTCAGCCAGCCGGCGGCTTTGATTTGCTCCAGGTTGAACGTTGTCATGGTGTCTCCAGGGTATCGAGTGGTCTGCAAGGGGCTGCGCAGAGAGAGGGGGAGACGTAGGTGTCTCCCATCAAGGGCGGGCTCAGGCGTTGAGTGAGTTCAACTGGGCGATCAGGACCTGGGCGGCTTCGGTAGACGAACCCGGGTTCTGGCCGGTGATCAGCAAGCCGTCGCTGACCACGTAGGAGGACCAGTCAGCACCTTTGGAGTACAGGCCGCCGTTGGCGATCAGCATGTCTTCAACCAGGAAGGGCACGACGTTGGTCAGGCCGACCGCCTCTTCTTCGCTATTGGTGAAACCGGCGACTTTCTTGCCGGCGACCAGCGGTGTGCCGTCAGGCTTTTTCACATGGCGCAGCACGCCGGGAGCGTGGCACACCAGGGCAGCTGGTTTGCCGGCGGCCAGGAAGGCCTCGATCAGATGGATCGACTTTGGATCTTCAGCCAGGTCCCACAGCGGGCCGTGGCCGCCTGGGTAAAACACCGCGTCGAAATCATCCTGGGAGACGCTGTCCAGTCGCACGGTGTTGGCGAGCTGGGCGGTTGCTGCGGCATCGTTCTCGAAGCGGCGGGTCACATCGGTCTGGAACGATGGCTCGTTGCTCTTCGGGTCGAGGGTGGCTGACCGCCTTTGGGCGAAGCCAGGACGATTTCGGCGTTGGCCGCGAGAAAGGCGTAGTAAGGGGCGGCCAGTTCTTCCAGCCAGAAGCCGGTCTTGCGACCAGTGTTGCCAAGGGTGTCGTGGGAGGTCAGAACCATAAGAATTTTCATGTTGAGCATCCTGTTTTCAGTGTGGAGTCGTGGGCTCACGACAACTGCAGCGGTTTAATTAGACTGGTCGTCTATAAAGTGGGCAAAACTAAATTACTTGGCGGCCTTGATGATCAGGTCCGCAACTTGTTGAGGGTAGGACAGCATGGCGACGTGGCTCGATGGCACTTCCACCGATACCGCATGCATGCGCTTGGCCTGGTCCCGTTCCTGTTGTGGGTTAATGATTGCGTCATTACCGGCAATCACTGCGAACGAGGGGACCGTGTGCCAGGCCGCTTTCTGGACCGGCTCACTCAGTGCGCGGCTGTTCAGGGCGCCTTGGGTGGCAGCAATCAGTGCTTGTTCCTTGGGGGCAGGTCTGCAGCAAAATACTTGGCTACGCCTTCATCGCTGACTTTGACATAACCCGCCGCATCCTTGACGAACGTGGACTGGCCCAGGCTCTTGGGGTAGCCCTTGACGGTATCCAGCGCGGACTGACCGGCATCGGGAGCGAAGGCTGCCACGTACACCAGCGAGTGGACTTTCTCGTTCGAACCCGCCTCGGTGATCACCGCGCCACCCCAGGAATGCCCCACCAGCACCACCGAGCCTTCGGCATCGTTGATAGCGCGATTGGTGAACGCTACGTCGCCAGCCAGGGAGTCCAGCGGGTTCTGCACAGCGACCACTTTCAAGCCGGCTTTCTGCAGCAGCGGGATCACTTTGTTCCAGGACGAGCCATCGGCGAAAGCACCGTGGACCAGTACCACGGTTTTGGCGGGAGCGCTTGCGGCGGCGTCCTGGGCGGCGGCGATACCGACATGGGCGACGAACGCCAATGAGGAGATGAGTGCAGCCAACTTGGTACGGGTGTTCATCGCTGTGTTCCTTTTGTCGGGTGGGTGAATGTGTGGCTACTGTATTTGCAATTAGACCGGTCGTCTAGTGATTTTTCCAAATTTTTTTCGCGCTGCTTTTCAGAACGATGAGAGGCCGCGAAAGGGCAGTGGATTCAGGTTGGGGAAGTTAAAGCAACATGAGCAGTGCGGTAGCGCACCACTCACGTCATCAATCAGGGCAGGTTGAGAATCAGGCGGGTCGTAATCATCGCCGTCTCGAAGGGCTGGACGCTTTTGTTGATCTTCACCATCACGCTGGCGCCGACCCACAATTGATACAGGCTTTGCGCAACGGCATGAGGGCTGCCGGTAACGTTGAGCGAGCCCTCAGCCACCCCGGATCTCAATCCCATTCGCGATGCGATCGACAATACCTGCGGTACCCCGCTTGAGCACTGCGCGCATCGGTTCGGAAAGGTCGGCGACTTCCACGCCCAGCTTCACCGCCAGGCACTTGCCCTGGCAGTTCTGAAAAGACTGGGTGTCCTGCCAGATGTGAAAGTAATTCAGCAACCGCTGCGCCATCGTCTGGCCGGTCTGGGCAAGCGTGTGGTCGATATCGGCGAGGTAGGACTCGAAATAGTTTTCCAGCAGGGCTTCGCCAAACGCGTCTTTGGAGCCGAAGTAGTGATAGAACGAGCCCTTCGGCACACCCGCAGTGGCCAGGATCTCGTTCAGGCCCACGGCGGTATACCCTTTGGCGGCCATGATTCGTTGGCCTACATCAAGGATTCCCTGGCGGACGTCGGTTGTTTCGCGGGGTTTTGGAGTGTTCATGGGGGGAATGGTAGTTGTTTGTAGTTGATCGGTCTACTAGCGGGTGTGGGTTTATGGATGGGTGGGGGCTGGAATACCGCCAGATGCAGGTAAGACGAGTTGAGGCAATCGGAAAAGGGTGGCGGATTTATTTCCGAGGAAAATAACCGCTCACCTTTTTCCGACTCGTTACGGATATTTTTAGTGTTGGGAAGCGGTCCTGCCTGCTGCTTCTGAATCAGCCGTGGGCACAAGAATGTCCAGCGCGCGTGTCACCAGCAATTCGCCCAAGACGCTTAATTGTTGGGTGGCGAGAAGTTTATGGCGTAACGCTCCGTCAAACTCGAAGGCCAGATCGGTAGTGATCGCGTTTAGCGAGGCTAGGGTTTCGCAGGCTTGTACCAGCAGGGTTTCGGGGTCGATGTGTTGGGCGATACAGAAGATATCCGTGCCGGATTGGTCCGAGCATGGCGGATTGGGAGTGATCTTTTTCATAGTGAAGCTCCTACACTGATGATTGGAGCTGCCATTCCCCTGCTGTCAAACAGGTTTGGGTGGCAGCTGTACGCGGGTTGACAGACCGGAAGTGTAGGAACCCGGCGCACCCGAAGATGCCCCACGCACAGCCGCCATGAACGAGGCGGAATGCGCGAAGCATGCCGACTTATCAAGGGGAGTGAAAGGTTACACTTTTCGGCCTGTCAAAGCCGGTTGCTGATGAGCAGCAACCAGGGAAGGCTAACTTTGTGGGGTGGCTTGCGCCAGTTCATGCGGGGCGCGGCGTCTTGCAGGAAAAATCCGAAGGTTCATTCGGTGGTGCGTTTCCAGGAGGCCAGAAACGACAAAACCCGCACAAGGCGGGTTTTGGTGGTGCTTCGTATTTGGTGGGCCGGGGGAAGCTGAAAGCTTTCTCATCTTATTAATTCATATAAAGAATAATAATCTTAAATTTTTGCTGGAATACCAAATTGGAATACCGCTCTACCGGGCGATACTTACCACGATCGGTGGTGTAAATCTTAAATATCTTGTAAGAAACTTCCTCATTTTTGGTAGGCTTTTGCCATCAGTCTAGAGGAAATGGAATGCTCGCAGTCATCGTTGAAAACGACACATCGCAATGGCAAGACGAAACCGGTGCTGTCTACCACTTCCCTAAGCGGTACCAAGCCTGGCTTGCCGAAGGAACCGAAGTGATCTATTACAAAGGACGCATCAAGGATAAAACCTTTGCTTCTATCCGCCTCAGCGCCGATCCGCATTATTTTGGCATGGCACGCATCGGGAAGGTCTACGCAGACCGGAGGAGTGATAAGGGTGACCTTTTTGCTTTGATCGAAAACTTCACTCCGTTTGAAGGCGCTATCCCCTCGAAAATTAACGGAGTGTACCTAGAGACGGTCCCCGCTACTCGAGTGACCAACTATTGGCGTGACGGGGTTCGGTCCATTTCCCAACTGGATTACGATGCAATCCTAAGTCATGCGAAGCGCCTTTCTCCCCAGGCTGATCAGGTCGCACCAAATTTCGAAGGCGATCCATTGACCTTTGAATCGGCCAATGAAGGCAGCAAATTAAGTTACTTTGGAACCCGCTACGAGCGCCGGAAAGATCTGAGGGTGAAGGCCATTGCTATCCACGGCCTTGACTGCAAGGCATGTGGCTTTGATTTCGAACAGGCGTACGGCGAGCACGCGAAGGGGTTCATTCACGTTCACCATATAGTGCCGATTTCGGACTTTGGTGGTGAGAAAGCCGTGAATCCTGAGACTGACCTCGTTACGTTGTGCGCGAACTGTCACGCAGTGGTCCATCGCAAGCGGCATATGACTCTGAGCGTTGATGAGCTGAAAGGAATGTTGCGCGGGCGATGGGTAATCGAGCCTTAGTTTTCTACTGTGTCCAACCTGCGTTTTTTTGTGAGGCTGAATCATGGATAGTGACATCCTACCGGCGGGCCCATCAGCCGTTACTGGGCCTGGCAAGTCGGCTCTCAAAGTATTGCGCGGTCTCCTGATCTGTACAATATAGGTAGCAGCCTTTCATCCCACGAGTCATCAATGTTCGATACGTGTTTTTGATGATCAGGTCTGTATCTTGCTGCGCCAGAGCAGGTTGCTCCTTCATCAACTTCTTCCAGCCACGAATCGATTTGTCGTTCTTATCTCGCTCATGCGGCGACGTTACCACCTGCCCATCACGCACGACCAGATCTGGTCCGATGATCACTCCAATATAATCAACTTCCAGCCCTTGGCAGGTGTGGATACAACCGACCTGTTCAATGGAATTCTCAGCGATGATCCACAAGCTGCCATCCTGATCCAGATTCCATTGGCGTGCGTAGTCATTGCCGATAACGATGTCAGTGGCCTTGGAGTCTTTCTTGCTGAGCCAAGGCCAGCAATAGCCCGCGACCACACGAGCCTTGTTTCCATGGTTTTTCTCGTCAATGGCGTTATGCAGCGACTGAGGGGAGTCGAATACTTTGAACTCGTACTCCGAGATGTTGAGCGTCGGATTTGCTGTCGAGCGAATGCCAAGCACGTCATCCAGCCATGCCATGTAACCGTCAGAACCACTGCAGCGAAACTGTGAAGACAGCACATATTCCTCGACCACAGCACCCTTGGCTTTGGCAAAGGCGCGTATTGCCTGCTTGCTGCCTATGTCGCTCAGGGTCACACGCTGATCTTCATCGATGAAGAAAATTGAGCATTTCGCTGATTCAACCAGCTCCTTGATCTGGTTTTCGCCAAGGTTCCCATAAAGCCCGCTTTTCTCATTCAGCCGGTGGGCTTCGTCCACGATAAGCGCATCGAATGTGTTGGGCTCAGTGTCGATGAACGCTCCAGAGCCTGAAAAGAAATTAGAGAAATGGCTGCGTTTGATGGTGCCAACCAGTTTGCTTTCGTAGACCTTGCGTGGGGCGGCATTCTTCGAGACATATTTGCTTAACAACCTCAATTCTGTGAGCCTCACCAGTAAATTGATAGCCAGAACAGTTTTTCCGGTGCCTGGGCCCCCTCAATGATCAGCACCTTTGGTGCCTGGTCCGAGGCTTCGCTTGCTGCCGCAAGCGCTGATTCAAAAATTGCTTTTTGATCGTCAATCAATACGAACTCTGGCTTGCCTGTCATCAGCCCTTCGAGGGCCTCGGCTAGCGCTTTGGACGGACGGATTTTCCCATCGGACAGTTCGTAGAGAACCTCTTTGTTGTCGCCGTGAGCAATATGCTTTTTCAGAAAGCTTCTGAGTTTGGTGAGCTCCTCCGGCCCTTTCAGGAACAGTGGGGCTTTGCTGATGTGGGGCTCGTAGTGAGCAGAGTCGATGATGCCGTCGCTGACGTAGTTATGAAGGTAGGCACAAGGACGGATCTCGATGCTTTTGTCGTACACCGCCTCGTTGAAGCCCTCCAGCAGCGCGGCGTATGACCATACTTGATAAGACGGGTGAATGGTCTCAACGAGGCCACCACCCAATGCCGTTTTGACGATGGCATCCTTGGTAGTGGCGCTGGCCTTGCTCCATTGCTTTAATTCGATCAAGACGGCTTTTTTTGCCTGATTTTCGTCGCGACCGGTGAGCAGAAAATCGATGCGCTTCGACGACTGCGGAATGTGCAGCTCAATGGCCAGGCCCGCGTCGCTCGGCAGGCCTTCATCCCTAAGGACCTTGGCCATATACGTTAGAGATCCTTGCCACGACCTGATTTCCGACCTGCCAACGGTCTTGCCGGTGGCTTCCTTGAAATGCCTGAGGATCACCTCCTCAATGTCATCGTTATCGTTGTCTTTAAGAAATTGCTGTTTGGTCGCAGCGTAGACGATCACGGGCTGTCCTTAGATTCGAGTTGTTCAGAGTCGGTCGTACTTTTTGCTGCTGCTTTTGGCTTTATCCACGGGGTACTTCTGGCCGTTCGAGGCAAGTTTCAGTGTCACCGCCTCGTTGAGGTCGATGCCGAGCACGCTGCTCAGGCGAACCAGGTACATCAGTACGTCCGCCAATTCGTCTTTTACGGCTAGGCCGATTTCGGGATCTTTAGCTACGGAAAGCGAGTCGGCATCGCTCATCCATTGGAAAATCTCGCACAGCTCTCCTACCTCGCCAGTGAGCGCCAAGATGAGATTTTTGGGGAGTGGAACTGCTGCCAGTCGCGATCATCTGCGAAACGCTGAAGGGATGCGGCAAGCTTCACTACGTCAACCAGTGGCGCGGATGAGCTGTCTGAGTCACTCACGGGGCTATCTCTTGGGTATCAGTGGGGCAAAAAATGTATAGGAAAACCGACCTTGGATTGTAGGAGTTTTTGTTGTTTGCGCGGGTTTTTTTTGTGTTTTCTCTCATATGCTTTGTGCTGGCCGAATTGCTTGCCAGCGTTCGCTATATCCTTTGAACGTGGCAAAGTGGGCCGGCTACAAACAGGTCTTCCAGTGCTTGTCGGCGGGCGTAGCTCAGTTGGACGCGGCGACCCTCATGCCCACCGACCAGCGTCCTTTTCTTCACCCTGTTCGTTTGTTTGCAGATAGAGCAGCAGCACTTTTCAGAGGGGGCTGACGCTGTCCCATTGGTGTTCGGTCGGCAGGACGCCGGGGGAGGTGTTGATGAAAAGCTGCTGAGACGCGCCAATATCGGCATTCATCCACAGCGATTTTCAGCAATATTCGGTACTCCAGATACAGCGAGGCCCGCACTGGGCGGGCTTCGCTGGTTTTTCAATTGGTGGGCCGGGGGCATTTGAACTCAATGGTAAATGTCCTGAATCCATTAGTGTTGAGACGTTCTGTTTTTAGTGGGGATACAACAGGGGATACACGCTGCTGTCTGTTAATCCACTTTTTCATCCCGACCTGCCGTTCAAATGTCGTTCGGCACTCTCAATCGATAAAGCAATTTCTCAGACTCCTTTTCGCTTGAGTTTCACAAGCTCTTCAGCAGGCTTTGGACCTATAACCCATAGAACAGAGCCCGCCATCATCAGTCTCAGGAGGCCACCTCTGAGAGACGCACCTACTCGGTATGTTTCGGCATAGTGATGCTAACAGTACTGCAGAATGCGTCTACAGCCACTAGGGATTCAAAGTTTTGGGTATGAAATTGTGCCAAGCACTCCACAAATCAGTCGATGATCACTGACGTTGAAAAACTCAGGCTCATTACTATCTTGCTCAGCAACGAAGAATACATATGGGCGATGCTTCTCATCCTTTTTCTTAGCCGCTATGCCCTCCAGGCGAACGACTTCGAGCTCATTCGACACCATTGTTTTTTGTATCTCGACCACTGCGACCAGGCAACGCGGATTTTGTAAGGCCGAACCAACTTTTTGTCCTTGCTCCACTCACCTGCAGAAAGTGGAATGACCAAAAACTCACCTTCTTCTTGAGGTTTTGCCCAAGCTAGCTCTGCGTAGAAAATCCGTGCACGGGAAAATGTTTCTATTCCCTCACCGCGAAGTTTTTTGAATGCTTGTAGATAGGTTTTTTCCTCTACTCCTGGGACGTCAAGTGACATTTTCCGGTCAAAGGGGAACCTCACGAATGCTCTGCATATTGGACGTATGCTATTGGCCGCGCGCCGGCCTTTAGCCCTCGCTCTTCCATCATCGTCAAGGCGCTCTGTAGCTCTCGCGCTTGAGGTTTGGTCTGAGGCAGGCAGGCGTTCAGGATCAACTATAGGGCGCTCATCTCTTAATGTGAGTCTCGACGGCGACAGTTCGGGACTCGTTTCGAGCTCATTGCGCACACTTCCTTTCTTCCCTCTCGCGACCGTTTTTTCATCGCCATCGATATCGCAATTTTCTTTGTGCGAAGTTTTTTGGGGTTTCCGGAAATGAGGCCTTTGAAGGTTGGACTGTTCATAAGAGGCTGGAAATACCTGGATGCCACAGCCGCCACATTCATAACCATACCTGTCCACCTGAGAAAGCATCCATAGGTCTTCCCCCTCCACCATCTCTCTCGTGTACTTATCGCGTGCTGATTCCATGTTGCCTCCAGGGTCCTTAGTCAGAAGTGAAAGCTAACACGCCTGGCTAGCGAACCAAGAAACGAGGGGGCCCCTGAGGAAATCGAACTGGCGCGGGTCGGAAACCCGCGACATCGTGGTAGCGACAGAGTCCCCAGCTTACTGAAATTTTAACGTTGAAATTGAAAGGATCTTGAAAAAAAGCATCGTTGCGGTGTCGGTAAAGACGCACCTTTGTGTTGCTGATTACGCACGCAGGCGATCATTAGTCCTGATCGGGCCATGGCTTTCGCAATTCGTCGCCCCAGATGGCCTCGTAGATACTCCAAAATGGATCCCCAATCGCTGGGGGCCTAAAGAAGGGGAGCAGGGGGCATAAGCCTTTAGAAACAGATGTAACAATTGTAATTCGTGTAATTACTTTGGCTAACATATTGATATGAATAGATAATTACAGTTTTACATCTTCCGTGATCCTACGCTTGCACGTTGTGTAACAAGGCTGATCGGTGTAACGAACATTGGCTGGCAAGCTCTACTAGTTCTGCCTCAGCTGGTGCCGTTTGGGTGTGCGAATGATTTGTTCTGTGTAAAAAACAGCCTTTCGCGAATACCAGATGTCCACGCTAAGGGGCAATGGCAAATAGGCACCTCCAGCGTCCTTCCACGAAAAGTCTTTTGAGCATGATTAAGAAGCTAGCTGCAATTCCTCGACCTTTTGCGACGTCACTCGTTTTCAATCCACTGTAGCAGCGGCCTTTGAGGATACTGACGAGCAGCCTGGTTCAAACGGCAATATGGGGTGGGTGTCATGTACATTACTGGCAGACACAACTGAGGATGAGCTTGATGCAGGATGAACAAGCTTCACAAGCACTAATGAATCAGAAGGCGGAGTCAACTCCTCCCAAACGCATCGACACTAAAAATTAAGGGTGCATTTCTAATTGACGTAAATTGTATAAGTGCTTAATGGTTCTCATGATTTCATTAATTGTTAGCACCCGTCTACGTTTTAGTATTGATAATGAATATTTAATCATACGAACCTGGCATTGTATGTATTTCATCGCTAAAATTTGAAGTTTCATTAGGGCCTTAGATTGATGAGTTATTGACATTTTCTTCACCATGATATAGCTTTGCCATCATCATAAACCCTATGTAGAAAAAAGAGTTTGAGTGCAGCCATGGACGACCTTCAAGATTCCAATATTATCGTTAGGAGCGCCAACCTAAAGTCTAAGTGCTGGGTCGTGCGGCCTGGAGCTAGATATAGATTTATTAATAATTTTTTGGAACTTGGCTGCGTTGCAATGGCGCACCTTGATGACTCTGGTCCTGAAGAAGAAATTTTTAAAGATCTTCGAAATGCTGAGGGGGAGGAAGTATTTACCCTCTGTAATAAACTTGAGTCTGGATTAACGATCAATGTTCGAGGTCAAGTGCTATCTTTTATCAGGGAGATGGCAGTAGGTGATGTGGTGTTTACATTGTCCGGGGCTAACATTTACCCCGGTATAATCACCAGTGATCCTTATGTAGCCAACGAAGCCTTCTCTGGCACAGAGAGATTCATTGTGAGACGCTCCGTAACATGGGGTGACCCTATTGAGCGGAGTAAGATTCCAGTCACGCTAGCTAAAAGTTTTCATGCGTACCAAGCTGTTTTTTCTTTAGGTGATAACTCTAAGGAAATTCATCACTGGCTTAGTGCGTTTTTTGTAAGTGAAGGCACATATTATAGTAGTCTGCGCGTTAACCAGGCTGGCGATCTCAGTCACCATTCCCTGAAAAATCTTTCTGAGGTTATGGATAGGCTTCAAGTTCTATCCTTAATGATAGGAGGAGAGAGCGCGTCTTATCTTAAGGATGGACCAGTATCCCTAGATACACTCCTCGAATTCATGAGGCGCTTCGATCAAGAAAGCTTACTCGTCCTAACATCTCAACAGGTAGTCATGTCCCCTGGAGATCTTTGGTATGGGTTCAAGGCAAACTCTATTCGCTCTGGAGTGGCGTTTCTTGTCGGATTGGCTATGCTTTTCAACCAAACCATTGCTTTCGCAGATGAAGAACTGGAAAGCATTAAAAGGGACGTAACTCCTATAGTTATGCAGAATCTCCCCGCAGTCAAAGATAACGTAGATCTTGAAGGGGTAAAAAAATCTCTCTGGGTTAAACCAGCTGGACAAAATAGATCTTTTGTAGACCAAGAGCCTTCACAAGAGCTATTCCCAGAAGATGGTGCTCCACGATACTCAACCAGGTAAATACAATGTCTACCATGTTGATGTGGCTAACATTTTCGGGGGCTTTATTAGCCCTGCTGGCAGCGATCTTATACTTTAGGGATGCGTTGTATGCGCGTGTTTCCGATTTATTAAAACACCATCAGGCCTACAATAACTTCGTAATCGCCTCATGTGCCCTCGCAACTTTCGTGTGGGGGGCGTATACCTTTGACGCACTCCAGCAAAAAGACCGAGCAGTAGCAGAACTAGCGGATATTCAAAAGCGAATCAGAGATACTGAGTCCACGTTTCTCTCTGTAAAAGTTCCTGTGTCTAAAGCCCCTGATGGTTATTATCTTACTCCGGTGGTAACTATCAAAAATAGTAGTAATGAGGCTATATATTTCAAGCTTTGTCCAGACTCTTTGTCAGTAAGCAAGATTTCCTATAGTTTTGAAGGTCAAGCTAGATCCGATAAAACCATTTATCCTTTGTTTTATGAGAGGATTTCCGACAATCCACAAGTAAAAAATAATCCGCTGTATGATCTGCGAGTTCCGATATCGTCAGACAGGGATTTGAGTTTTTTTGCCGCAGTTAAAGAGGCGGGGGTTTATTATATTACTTTCTCCGCATTGTCTTCAAAGGATGCTGCGCCTGATGTTAATAATGGAGATTGTAGTTTTAATACAAAAAAGAATATAGCTGGAGGTAATAAAATAAATGGTAAGGACTCCATTTGGTTTGCTTCCTCTTATGTCATAATAGCGCCTGAAGATAAAAAATAACTCAAGGTGGTAAGATTGGGTTTGCCTGTTTTGGTTTTATATTTTTACTGTCGTAGTGTCTTTTTTTTCATCAGCGCAGAACTAGTGAGGAGGTGGTTGATGGTCTTAATATATAGATTCAGCGGTGGTTCGTATCTATATCTCCCGAGGCCACTGCTACTTAGTTTGGCATTTTTTTGTGAAAACATAGATAGCGCTGCGGGGTGTACGGCTGCGTGATAGTTTAGCGTCGCGAGTTTACGACCCTGCTTTATTGCATATGTAAATGTATACGAGTCTTCGCGGTCCCTGGCTTCCCGCGTACGCGGCACTGCGCGGACAGTGTTAGCTGCCACTCCTAACCTTGATCCGCAAATAAAAACCATGGCACACGGTTCGGAAATAGTAGGGCTGAACATAATGCCCCAATTTTCGTAGTGGGGCTGTTAAGCGACACGCTCCGGGTGATCTGCGGTACGCACGCCGAAGTCCAGCTCAAGGAAATCTTCTACTGTTCAGACCTTATGGCCGATTTGAAAACATGGTTAATTCCATCAGAAATGCACGGCTCTGTGTGTAATCTGATAAGATTTAATACCCCTGGCTAACCGCTGTGGGGCGGTTTCAAGTCGGAAAAGTGTCAGAAAATGGATTGTCAGTTTGCAGTGAGGCGGTAGCCGCAGATGTAACATGGGCTGGGGAGGCTGTCATAAAGCTGGCATTACCCAGCCAAACAGCCCTAACAGGCACAAAAAAGGCACTTGCGATAAACTATAAGTTACTGATTTATATAGTTTTTGTGTTGGCGGGGGCCCGCGACCAATCCTTGTGTGGTGGGGCTCTCAGCGCTCAAGCTGCCATTTTGCTGTCATTTCTTTATGAAGTGCTTTTTGAGGCTTACAGTCACGTCTACCACCTCCTCGTAAATCTCAAACTCATCCCAAGCCGCAGCCAGGCGTGGGGATACTGCTCTTATCATGGACCCAAGCTCTTGAAGAGGATTAAGTTCGCCTTCCATCTCTCGACTCAACCTGAAAGTTACTCGGCCGGGTATTCCCCCTCCATGGCGCAAGCTAATATAGCCGTCGTGGAGTATAGTCCACGTTTCATGCGACACAGGATCTTCAGACGTGCCTGAAGTAGATCTTGCGTATGACTCCAGTTTATCCGCTAGATCTCTGTATCGTTGGTAATTGGCCGGGTCTTTTGATTTCTTGGTGCGAGCATTCCATTTTTCGTGATAGTCGTCGGAATTGTTAATAGTGAGTGGATATCGACCATCCTCCAGTATGCTCGTTTCCAATGTTTTCAGATCCTCCTCAGTTTGCTTACTAAGGGGGAACCGGACAAATTGCGCAAGTGCGAGAAGGTTATGAGAGAATTTTCTTCTTGCCGTAGTCTGGAAAAGTTGTTCGCTACACCCAATGAATACTTGAGCAAGTGCTGCTTTTAGGAAAAGCTCAATCGCATACCCTATGAGGAGTATTGATGCTCTGGGTAATGCCTCGTCAATTGGGATTAGTGGCATGATTTGATTTCGCACACCACCTTTTAATTGATCTATTAGTTTTTCATGGTTTTCTTGCCAAGAATCTCTCAATACTTTGGATGAAAGAAGTAAATTTTTACCTTCTTTTATCCATGCGGAAGAGTCAAACTCTCCCTTGCTTTTGTTGGTGATTTGCTTGGTTAGCCTTTTGTTGATCATTGTTTTGCTCATCCCTGCGCTCTTTGCTTGACCAAAGTAACTCTGCTTTACCACCCGCATTTTCATCCGCGGCTGGCATCCATCGCCCATATACCCTGGCAATCATAGTTCAATCCGTATGTCCCATCTGCTTGGCAACCCACATTGGATGCTCACCGGCAGACAGCATCATCGATGCGTAGGTATGCCTCGTTTGGTACGGCCTGCGGTACCTGACGCCGGCTTTCTACATCGCTGGCACCCACATGGTTTTCCGGATCGGTCCGTCACCGGTCCATCATTCAAGCGTGCGTGGATTCTGGAAGACCTCGACGTCAGCCAAGAACGTGTGAGCCTTTTGTGCTTTCAATGCCTCCAGCGCGGGTCGGAGCAGCTTCACGCTGCGGCGCCCAGCGGCGGTCTTTGTAGTCTCTGCCTTCCCCTTGCCGGCTTGAGTCATAGCTCGGCTCACCATCACTTCCTCGCGCAGCCAGTCAACATCGTCCCAATCCAGGGCCACGAGCTCGCTGGTGCGCAGGCCAATCCAGAGAGCGAACTGCATCATGTTGCGCGCCTGGCCCGACAGGGCGCCCAGCACGGCCTGCTGTTATTCGGGGCTAAATGGATCTATGTCATCCTCTTTCGGCGGCGCAGCTTTGCGTGAGTAGGTCCAACCGCCGAGCGGGTTCAGCTCTATCAGCTCTTCCTCCGTCGCATCGTTCAGCGCAGAGCGTAGGCAGCTCTGGATATTGGTGAGCGTTCAGTTCCCTGATCACGAGTGCTACGTGAGGCTTTCGCCGGCGGCGCTGCGCTGTACTTCAAGCGCGAGCAGCCCGCCAAAGTCGAGGTTTTGAATGATCTCAACGGCGACCTGGTGAACCTGTACCGCGTAGTCCAGCACCACCTTGAAGAACTCGTTCGTCAGCTCCCGGCAGATTTTCGAGTGGCAAAAGATGACAGCCTCTGAGACGCTGACGGATATCCAGAAAGCGGCCAGGCTCTTCTACCTCCAGCGCCACGCGTTCGGCGCCAGGCAATAGGGCGAACATTCGGAACCGCGACTACTTGCCTTGCCAACTATGGAGCGTGCGACGAGGCTGGTTAATCAGCCGGAGCTGCTCGAGCAGCCGCAGCATGCAGCGATGTCGGCGGCGTGTTTCTGGTCGACGCGCGGGCTGAACACTCAGGCAGACAAGGGAGAGTTCGCGAAGATCATCCGGCGCATCAACGGCGGCCGGGATGGTCAGGTTGACCGCCAGGCGCTCTATGAAAACGCGTTGCAGGTGCTGGTATGACGATCACGACGGTAGGGAAGTGCCTGGGGTAAGCAAAAACGGCTCAATCTGGTTCTTTTGCCTTGGCTGGGATGGCCCGCACAGCATAAAGGTCAAATCACCGGACACTTTCGAGACGAACTGGCGCTAAAACGGCAACCCAGACGGGCCGACGTTTACGCCGCAGGCTCTTGCCCCTACTGCGGGCGCCCCTGATGGGCGTAGCGTGAAAACGGCTGAGGAAGAGGTTGAGTACGACGCGGTCTATTCTGCTGGCAGGCGGGAAGCCGTCTATGCGAGTCGCTTCGGCAAGGTCTGCCACTCATTGGTCACTGATGGCCGTATCTACTATCTGGGCGACTGCACGCACGGGCTTTCCGGACAGACTTTGGATCTACCGAATTGGCAAAGCTTGGGATAGGTGCTAAAGCTGGATCCGATAATGGCTATGTGATATTTATTCCTTTTTAATAATTGGAAGAATTAAACGTGGCCCTCATATTTTATACTTCAGCACCCAAAACTCTTTTGAAGTCTTTCGAGGAAAAAATTTATCAGGATGAGCCAAAAGGGCAGATCCGGACCTGGAAAAAACGAAGAAAGGTAACTTCACTCATACTTCTGAGCAGTGGGGTAGCAAGGCGTTTTTCAAGCCCAAGGTAGGTACTGATCGATTGATTTTCAACATGATCCCGCTTGCAGGCGGTAAAAAAATATCGGTGGAAGAGTATGCTTTCTATCACGGCCATCTCACTGAAACCTTTATTGTTCACTTCGATAGCAAGTTTACAAAGGCTGTGTCCACTGCCAAGCCGACCGATAACGACCTGATGAAAAGCGATAAGTAGCTCGCTCGGTTACCTGTCGACGAAGGCAGGCTTAAAGCGGACAGAAAGGTGGTGGCTCGTTACGATGCACAGCGAGTTTCACCACTGTGTCCTTCCGGTATCGGTTATGTCTATAAAAATGCTGATTATTATGGGTAAGGCTGGACATCTAGCTGATACGCATCGCTAGCGAGTCCTGACCCTTCCCCGTAACTCCCTCCCTCAACTGGTCACGCTCGCTCGCCACGATAGTCAATATGTCGACCTGCTTGGCCACACTTTTCGGAGCTCGCCGACCTCTTCTCTGAGCGCTTCGTCCTTCGCCTTGATCAGTTGCACGCTGTCAACGCCTGGAACTCAAAAAAGCCTGGAAAGCGTCCCGTGGCCTGAAACCCCCGAATTTACTGGATTGCAGGCACAAAAAAAGACGTCCGTGGACGTCTTTAGATGATGAAGTGGTGGGCCGGGGTAATCTGAATTGATTCTATAACATGTTGATTATTATAGATTATTTCTGGTTAAATTTTTTATTGGAATACCTTTTGGAATACCATTCGCGAATCTTCTTAAATTCCTACCTTTACGTCGATCAATGCTCAATTCCACAGCTGTTCGTCGGATCTCACTTTTGAGCGGAGCCAACGGCTTCTGATGGCCATTGCTGGCGATTGTGCATTCCTTCACTCGCTCTGGCGAGTCAGCACATGCCATATTGCCTTCGAGTACAGCAAATGGGCGGTCTCTACTACTTCCTGCTCCAACGCCCGGCGAATACCGCGTCGGCGGCTACTACAGTACCACCAAGGCTGACGATTTCTATCTTGCTGCGGACGTGGCACAGGAGCCGCTGAGCGATACAGGCTTCAAATCCCACAACAACAAACACGGCGCCTAGTGGGTGGTGCAGCATCAGGTCTACAAGGATGCGACCAACCCGGCCCGGGCGCTGACCTTGTTCAGCGACGCCACTGTGCATAACAAGGCCACCAACAAGATCGATCGCTACATCCAGCCCGGGATGTTCTACATCCAAAGTGGAGCTTTACTACGGCTTCCTGGTCAGCAAGTGGCTGACTGCGCGGCCAAATATTCAATACGTGGTGAGTCCTGGCGTCAACGATGTCGACAATGCCTGGATTGCCGGTTAGAAGTTTGAAACTTCGTTGTAGTGCAAGATGTGCCAGGTTTGGCGCTGGGCCTAGTTTCTTTGCCTGCGTGAGTTATGAGAGCCAATACTAGTTCAGTCGGGGAGGACGGACCCAGGCCGTACAATATGCTCTGCTTAACAGCTGCGTCACAGCATGGATTGGCACGATACAGAGCAGGTAAATAGAGAGCAGCCATTGTATCGCTCTCTTGAGATAGATCCTGCTGGGCCGTAAAATAATCCGAGAGTGAGGTCGGGTCTTGACCGGAGATCTATCAGGTATCTATTTCTGCAAAGTCCACTAATCTTGATTGAGTAGTTTGGAGTTTTTCAGTTTTTCAGCAATGTACGTAGCGTTTATCTCTTCTTGCGCTATGAGGATTTCTATTGCTCGAGCACGACTGATTTCATGTTGTTCGCATATTTTGTCTAAACTTCGAATGGCCTTGTCGGAAAGTATAAAGTTGTACTGAGACTTTCCTAATAGGTTGCTTCTGTATTTTTGCTGGCTCCATCGTGCTTTAATTTTAGTAAGGTAGAGCTCCCTTTGTTCGTTGATGATAAAGTTTTCATCAAAATATATTAAAAGGTCTTCATAGTCTTCAAACGGGGGGCGTGAGAGATTGAGTTGAGTGTTCTTTGTAAGCCATTCCCACGCGAGCAAGATTTTTTGGTTGTCGTCTTTAAACCATCTGAAAGGTTTGTCAGTGTTTTTTTGTGATCTCCACAGTTCCTCTATGTTTTTTAGTTCAATACGCTTGTAGGTGATGTCGGCTTCCCAGCAGTCTGCGATGTAATACAGCCTGTCTATTCCATGTAGGTTTGTTGGGATCATGAATGGAATAAGTCCTGAAGCGCTAAGTAATCGATTACTTACCCATGAGATTTGGCGTTTGCCCTCATGTATCCACTTGAAGTGATCCTGATGAAGTAGTTTTGCCGCTTCCTGTTGTTTCAAAGTCTCAGCGATGTGTGGGTTTAAGCTCAAGCACTCTGCGATTATGTTGCGCATCTCTCGCGGCGCTCTGTCGAGGAGGCCAATATTGAGCCCGTATTCTTGGAGGCGTTTCCATAGCCAAATATCCCTGCGGTCATTGACTAAATTGTCTCCCCAAAGCTGAGAAAGATTATCATTGATTCTGATGGCCATTTTATAAGTCTTCTAGAAAAAATTCAGTAGCTTTATAGCACAAACATAGAGATTTTGCATGAGTTTTATAGTGTTTAGCTAGAATATTTATAGTAGATATTTTTGATGATGGGGCCGAAATTATGCGGTGTTTAAGGCATCAGCACCATGGACTTCTCCCAACTGAGCACCCGTGAACAAGCCGCTGAAAGTGCTGCTGGGCCTGAACCGCCTTGAGGTCAACAAGGGGCGGCTGCCGAAAGGTCTTCAAAAATCCGTCAACGCCGCCGCCCATGGCAAGGAAGGGTCGCTTCTTACCATGCCCGTTCTCTAGCCTCTGAGTGGTTCATTGACTCGCCAGTAGACAGGAGTTTCGTGGCCCTCAGTAAAGTTCTACTGACCTTGCCAATCCTCTGGACGAATACAGGAGATGCGTTCATGAGGATAATCCGATTGAAAGAGGTCATGGATCTAACTGGCCTTGCTAGATCTACGATTTACAAGTTCATTTCGGGAGATTCATTTCCCAAACCTATTTCCTTGGGGGACCGTTGTGTAGGTTGGCTGGAAAGTGAAGTTCACGATTGGATACTAAGTAAAGTTAAAGAGCGGGATCAGTTGGTGAAGAATGATGCTTGAGGATCTGCTGCGTTTGCCTTTGTGAATTTCACTGGCTCGGTTCTAGTTAACACCATGAAGGAACTTATCCTTCATGGTGTTTTTCCAGAGTTGTTGTTTCTCTGTAATATATCTTTTTTAACAGGGCTTGTGGGTGTTTTATCTAGTGTTGTGTCGTTAGGAAGTTTCGGTATTGGTATTATGCTTATAGAGTATCTCTATCATGAGTTTGGCTTGTCTGTACTGGTTAGGTGTAGGGAGTGTGTCGGAGGGAAGGTAGGCACTCTAAGCAGAGCAGTATTGTGCTCTGCACTCTTAGGTGTAAGTAAAAATGTACTAGTGGGCCTGACTATATGAAACTAAATACTCGGAGCTCCATCATGGCTAGATATCCAGGCAACACGAATTTAACCCTTCACTACGAAGGTTCTTATCAAGGCTTGACCGTGCAAGTGGATAAGGGGCCTTTCATCCAAGAGTACCTAGACCGTCTTCATCAGACGGTATCTCGAGCGCTTAATCAGTACCCTCGTGTGTTCGCATTCAGGTTTGACCTGCGGCTACCAGCTAACAGTCAATTGCCCGATTACGCTTTCACGAACGAAGTTATTGACCGCTTCATCGAATCCTTTAAAGCCAAAATCAAGCACAATCGCCAAATGGCGAAACTTGTGAATAAGTACGCTCACGACACCAAGGTGCGTTACGTCTGGGCTAGGGAACAAGGGCAGCACGCGCGACCACATCATCACTTTGCGATCTTGCTGAACTACGATGCATTCAATGCGCTGGGTAAGCTCGAATCAGGCAGAGACAACATGTTTAATCGCTTGGAAGGAGCGTGGGCAAGCGCTTTAGGGTTATCAGTAGAGGCTGTCAGGGGATTGGTCGAGATTCCAAAAAATCCTTACTATCACTTGTATCGCGACGAGATAGCCGGACAGGCAGCCTTCTTCCATCGTGCGAGCTACCTGTGTAAGTCGAGCACGAAGGTTTTTGGGGATGGTTCCCATGGTTTCGGGTGCAGCAGAAGCTAAGCACAACGCTGAAACACAAAAAAATAGAAGGACACCGTGCCGACGACCACCCTGGCAATGCCAAAGGCGGTCCATCGGACGGTGTGTACATTGGAGTTAAAGGTAACCTCGTTCAACCAGAGATACGCAGCCTTCATGACCTACAACGATGTGATCCAACGTCTGGGTGCCAATCATGCTGAGGGCGCTCTTGAGCGCCAGGGTTAGCGTGCGATCGGCTTGACTAGGTTCAGGATCGCCGGATGGATGGTTATGTACCAGAATTACCGCTGCAGCATTGAGCTCCAATGCAATCTTGACCACTTCTCGCGGGTACACGCTGGCACCATCCAGCGTGCCTCTGAATAGCTCCCTGAAGGCAATCACTCGATGTTTGCTGTCGAGCAGTAATAGCGCAAAGACCTCGTGCTCGTGGTACTGCAGCAGTGTTTGCAGGTGGCTAAAAACCTGCTTTGGCTCCGTCAATGCCCGGCCTTTAGACAGACGGCTCATTGCCAATTGTTGTGCCATCTGCAGGATGTCAGCCTCGGTAACCGGGGATTCCATGACATAGGTACCGATTGTTTCACCGGCTATCAGCTTGTGATATTTCATTCGGGTATTCCTGAGCGAATAGGGAAGAACGCAGAAGAGTTGGTGGCTACTGAACCGAATACCTGCTTTTGTGCTGCGAGGCTCGCGATTCCAGCTTCTGGGCAAGTGAGGGTTTGGAAGGCGCTGCCAGTGGAGGGGGGTTGAGTTCTATACGGCTGGGCTGATCTTCAATGAGAGGGAAGAACTCCTCGACGATGGCACCGGTGTCCTCCACGGTGTCCTCAAAGGCCCCGTTGTTAAAACCCTGCCGTGCCGCTTGATCCAAGGCGCTTTGGTCAAAGCCTGCGGCTTGGCGGGTCTCCTCCAATTGCTTGGCTGCGATTAAGGCATCCTCCATGCCCAGACCACTGCGTACCGTGATGTCTACGTAGAAAATCGGTGCACCGTGGCTTTGGCGAGTGGACTTGCCGCGAAGACGCAACTCCAGCGGCAGGCAGGCCAGTCGATCGCCAGAGATGGCTTGCAGATAATGCAGTCGCGCTGCGAGGGTGCGGATGCTGTTGTAGCCGGTGGTGCGAAAGACAAAGCTGCCAAGTGGATCGTCATCGCCAATCACCACGTTGAGCCGGCCGAAGGGTTTGCAGGCATTGCCTTGAGCCAGTGAACAGCCATCCGGTGAAGGGCAGGGCATTGACTGGATGCCATCCTTGGTCAGGCGCTTGCAGGTCTCACCATTGCCGACGCACAGCGGCCGGCCGGTGTTACGGTCGAACAGGCTGTAGTCAGCCCGAAAGTTGAGGTCCGGCTCGTTGAAGAGCAGCCGAATCGGAATGCTGCGCAGTTTGCCGTCCTGGCCATTGCGCAATTCTTCGTTAAGGGGGTGCAGCAACCAGCCGTCACGGCTCTGCACTTGGGAGGTGAGGGTGAATTGATCGTCCTTTTCCGGTAGACGCTTGCCGTTCTTTTCGACGAGCTTGCCAATGGATATTCGGCCCAAAATCGGCGGAGTGATGGCTAAACCTTTGAGCATGGGAGTTCTCCTGTATCTGAAATAAAGATGCCACCGAGACCGCGTAAACGGCCAGGGTGGCGTTGGAGAGAAAGGGCATGGGAATAAGGGAAGCGCGAGCGAGCGTTCAGGCCAGCAGAAAACGTCGACTGCCGGTTTTTGTGGTCGAGTAGCGTACTTGCAGGTGGGGTTTTTCTTTCAGCAGGCGGGGGATATCCAGGGCCGTGCTGTCTTTGGCTTTCTTCCACGTGATGCTGCCGGTCGCGAAGGTCGCCCGACTGGCATCGCCCATGGCCTGTTGCAACGTTTGCTTGAGCTGAGCTTCCTGCTTCTCCTGCAGAGCAATCGACTTGCGCACGTTCTGCAGTTCGGTAAAGGCCGTGCAGAGCAGTGTGTCGTGGCTAAAATCCAGGATTTGTCCATTGTCATGCGGATGCAGACAGCGCAAAGCTTGCTCCGCCGAGGCAGAACCGTCTGCTGGCGGCGGGGTGTCACTGACGACGTAATCCCAGAAGAGCCGTTCCAGGTCAATCAACCGAGCTATCAGTGACTCATCGCGTTCAATGCGATGAATTTCCAGATGCTGACCTCCGAGCAGTACCGCCACATCCGCCGCCTGCTTGCCAGTCACGGCCAACTGGTGAATGACCTGCAACTGCACATACTCGGGCACGCCTTCTTTCCAGAGAAGTGCGCCGTTTATGCCGGCGGTTTTGCATTCGAGAATCTGCACTTCTGACGCACCGATAACCTCACGGTCGATATTGGCCAGCATCCAGGCCAGTTTGGGATCAGGATGCTGCAGAACCGCATTGACCCGGCGGACCCGATGACCACTGCGCCGGGTGTAATGAGATGCGACAATCGGCTCCAGGATGTTGCCCCAGTATGCGGGGCTTTCCTCATCCTGCGGATCGAGCATGGGTAGTAAGGTGTCACGCCCGGTTTTTTCCATCCACAGTTCCAGCTGTGATTTATAAGGGTTCAGGCCCACAGCAGCGGCGGCGTCCGAACTGCCGAAGCCTTGCTTCCGCACGGTCAACCAGTCCTCACGCGGCAGTTGTTTGGTGCCGACCAAGCGTAAGGCTGGACGGGGTTTAGTTCTGAGATGTTGTAGGGATTGAGTGCTCATAATCATTTCCTTGAGGCATAAAAACGCCCAACCAGCACGAAGCTGATCAGGCGTTTAGGGAGTGGAAGAACAGAATGAGGAAGGGGTTGATGAGGACAGTGAAAACCAGGCCTAAGCTGCCAGTTGTAGCGCCGCCTCCAGCGCCCGTTGCTTGAGCTGTGCTCCTTGCCCGAACCAGGCAGAGTCCATACGGTACTCGATGCTTCTCGCACGGCGTTCGTGGTCGACGTACTCCGTCACGGCGTTGAGCAGGCCCCAGGCGGTTCCTTGAGCTGACTCCAGAGTTGACCCGCGGCCCTGACCTTCATACAGGCATTGCACCTTGCGTAGCGCCCGCTCGTTGGGAAGTACTGCCGGTAGTGGCATGTTCGGATTGGCATCACACAGCACGTTCATGAAGAATCCCATGGCTTCATGCCACTGAACTTTGCGTTCAGATAGCATTCGCATCCGGTGCATGAAGTTGTCCCATTGCGAGACAGCGATACCGAGTTGCTTTTTTACTGCCTGTGGATCGAAGCGCGTGCTGTGCGGCACCTTGATCGCTTTGCACGAACCGTCCAGCGCAATAGTCAACGTGTTATTGCAAACTACCCGCACAGTTGTAGGTGTGGCCGTGGTAGCCAAGGTACCGTCACAGGAGGTGGCCAGCAGGAGATAACCATTGACCTGATCGTTGCCTTTCAAGGTCGTTCCTTGGCCAGTGCGGGCCAGCGCCCAAAACTTGCGACCGCCTTTGAGTACGCCGGCCGTTTCCAGCTCGTAACCCGATACTTCAGTGAGGTCCCGATAGAACTCCAAGACCTCGCGCGGCTGCACGACCTGGTAGCGCTGAGAAACCACGGACAACGGGGCCTTAGTATCGGAGCGGTAGAGAACCTTCTGGTCAGGGAAGGTGTGAATTGAGCCAAGTGCACCGATGCTATCGGATTTGAAATGCACCGGGCTGTCCTGGATCTTCCAGTCCATACCCGCTTCGCGCTGCCAGATTTCGATGGGTTGTTTCGGAGAAAGGCGACTACCCAGACCGTGCCAGGGAGTTGCGCCAACATAAGCCATTTGTTCAATGAGATGAGCCATGGGAATAGGTCCTTTGACAAAGGGGGCGCCCCTGTTTCATGAGAAACAGGGGCTGACTCGATGAGTTAGCGATTAGCGCTGAAGCTGTAACCGCACTCTAGGCATTGATAGTTATTCAGTACCTTGTCATCGATCTGTTCACCGAGCGTGGCCCCGGCGATACCGCCAGCGACCCCTCCAAACAACCCCCTAAAATCGCCCCAGCGACGCTTCCGATTGCGATGCCTATTGGGCCTCCAGCGACACCTAAAACAGCTCCAGCTTCGGCGCCGGACAGAGCGCCAGCTGTACCACTGGCGGCGCCGCCTGCGGCACCGATCAAACCGCCTGCTTGTTTCCCAATATTTTTCGTGACGATGCGTCCAGAGTTACAACTTGGGCAAGGGCTATACATACGCAGATCCTCTCAAATGATGAGCGTGCTAGCGAAGTGCAGGCACGCCAAAATCCCAACTGCAGTCGATACAGGTGGGCGTTCATAGAGGTGATATAGGTCTGAAATATTTTTGATTATCCACGGGCGCACAGCCAATGGTCATACAGAATGGACGGTGGAAAGGCACTGGGCTGACCTACGTGGCCTGGCAAGATCAGCAGTTGACCAGTGCGACACTCGAGCCGGAGGGAGTATGAGGCAAAGCTGAACGGAGTAAGTGCGGAGATGAGCTTGAATGTACTTGCCTACAACTTGAAACGGGTCATGAAAATCATCGGTACCCATCACTGATGAGGGCGCTAACGGCGTAAAAACCGGCGTGTTTTTACGTCTCCCGATGATCTGGCGCGTTGCTGGGGCGGTTTAGCTCATCAGGAAGGGAAATCGTGCCTTGATCAGACTACGGAGCCGGACAGCCACTCAGTCTTGAAAATCAAAACGGGATCTAGAGTTTTTACACACTCTGGGCCGATTGCTGCCTGTTGTGATCGCATTGGGATTTTCGGTTTCGGACGTAGTAACGTCTTGAACAGACGAACCACTGTCCAGTTCGGGCGGAGAAGCAAGTCCCGCCAGCCAGTCTTCGGTCTGATGCAGTTGTCCGATGACGGCAAAAACTGCAGACCAAAAATCCCAACATCGCTCGAAAATATTTGCTTTAAATGTTGCCCGACAACGAAGAAATTTCTGAAGTCAGCTCGTCGACAATCATGTTCCGCAACCAGCGAATAGCATGATCCGTGTTGGACCGGCGATGCCAAAATAGTCGAATCGTCCGTAAGGGAAGGTCCATTGGAACGTCAACAATCTGTAGGTCCCAATGCGTGTTAAAAACGTCCGCAAGTTGGCCGGGTACTACGGATATGAACTCTCCCGTTTCAAGCATCATGGGCGCGTGGAGAAAGCTGGGAATTTCCATGGTGTTGGCAGACGTATGTCCACGCTCGGCTAGCTCTTGACTGATGATTTCATGAACGCGTGACGGCGATTTGACGACCAGCTGTGGCGCTTGTGCAAATTGCGCCAGCGTCATTTTTTCATGGCAGAAAGTACTTCCCTTGGCTGCCAGGCATACGTAGTGGCGTTCATAAAGCCGTCGTTGAAACACCGTCGATCTGTGGCATTCAAAGGGACCTAGCGCTAAATCTGTGCTTCCCCGCTCAAGCGCATCTTCAACAACCTCTGTCGACAATGTCGTGAGTTTGAATTGAATGTTGGGCGCTTCCGTGCGCACTCGTTTGATGATGCGCGCGCCCAGTACGAAACAGCCTACCTCCGAAAGGCCCAGGGTAATGCTCCGGGTGGACTCTGCAGGGTTGAAGCTTTCGCTGCTCATCAACTCATCGCGAACCTGATCCAACACGAGCGACACAGTCGCCTTTAGTTCCAGCGCTCGTGTCGTAGGGCGCATGCCGCGGCCCGTGCGTACTAGCAGGTCATCTCCCAGCAAAACTCTAAGACGACCGAGCGCGGCACTGACTGCCGATTGGCTCATGTCCAAATCATCCGCCGCGCGAGAAACGTTTTGGTGGATCAGCAAGGCTTCCAGTACGGGAAGAAGGTTGAGGTCGAATTTTCTGATATCTACCATGTCGATTTTGCTTATCCGTTATACGCGCTGGATCGATACTCACACACTCTGTAGATTTCGGTCAATGCAGTGGGGCGGTCTTTGGGCAAGGCCGATTCTGGGCTCAAACAACAACAAGCTCTGCTGTCACCGCTCACATCATTTAAAGGTTCAGCTCATGGAACTCAAGATCGACACTCATCACCATATTGTCCCGCCTGATTACGCAAAGTGGTTGGATTCGCGCGGGATAACAGCCGGTGGGTTGCCTATCCCAGTGTGGTCAGCCGAGGGCAGCCTGGATCTGATGGAGTCGCAAGGAACCTCCTGCTCCATTCTGTCGGTCTCCACGCCGGGTGTTCACCTAGGAAACGATCAAGAAGCCCGCGCGCAAGCTCGGGAGGTGAATGAGTACGCCGCCAGCGTCATCAGAACCTACCCTGGGAAATTCGGTTTTTTCGCCACGTTGACTTTACCGGATGTTGAAGGCGCGATTGCTGAAGCGGCTTATGCGTTCGATAAGCTGGGCGCCGATGGCGTCATCCTGCTGGCTAACGTAGGCGGCCGCTACCTGGGCGAGGCCGCATTCGAGCCGTTGATGGAGGAGTTGAATCGTCGGAGCAGTGTGGTGTTCATCCACCCCAGTGAACTGCCATGCGAGCCGGTAGAAGGTATTCCGCCCTATGTGGCCGACTTCCTCTTGGATACAACCCGAGCGGCAATCAACATCGCCAAAGCGGGCTGGCTAGAGCGCTATCCAAACATTTCGTTCGTGCTGTCTCACGGCGGAGGCTTTCTCCCATTCGCTGCCCAGCGAATCGCTCGGGCGGTATCGGATGGCGGCCCGGATGACGTGGGGATCGAGCGGCTCAGAAAGTTCTATTTCGACACCGCGCTGGCCAGCAGCCCGTTTGCCCTTGCCGCCTTGTTGGAGTTTGCGAAGCCGGAACGAGTTTTCTTCGGCAGTGACTGGCCATATGCGCCTAAAGCCAGGTCCATGAACTTCTTGAGCCTCCTTGAAAACTACGCCATGGACGATGCGACGCGCCGCCGTATTTACCGTGAAAACGCTGCGCAGTTGTTCAAAAAAAAGAGCCGGCTAAAGCGTCGTCAGAATTCGCCTCATGCGGTAGCCAGCTCTCGCGGCTGTAGCGATCGCCAAGAACAAAAATTAGGAGAAGTAGCGTGACATTAGAAATTGACGTGAAGAACCCGCGCACAGGCACCGTTGACTATCGCATTGCTCGCTTGTCAGAGACGGATTTCGACACGGTTTGCCAGGAGCTACGCAGCGGGCAAAAGACATGGTCGAAAGCCGGACTGGAAGCTCGGGTGAAAGTGCTTCTTCAATGGGCCGATGCGATCGAAGTCAACGCAAATCTCATCGGCTCTGCCGAAGCCTTGGATACTGGGCGGCAGCGGTTATCTCACGAAGTCCCGCACATGGTGGTGGGTTCAATCCGTGATTGGTGTGCAAAAGCGCCGCACATCTTCGCGTCCGCACAACGTACCGGCACGTCAGTAATCAATGCTAATGTCGTGTTTGAAACCCAACTGGTGCCGTATGGCTTGGTGGGTTTTATTACGCCGTGGAACCACCCCTTCCTTCTGTCAATGATTGACGCCATCCCGGCGTTGCTGGCCGGTTGCGCAGCGGTTATCAAGCCCAGCGAAATTGCTCCCAGGTTTATCGAGCCGGTTATGGAAACGGTGCGTCAGTTTCCTGAGCTGGCGGCTGTGCTGAGGTACGTCGCGGGAGACGGCGCAACAGGGCAGGCACTGATTCAGCGGGTCGATGCCGTGTGCTTCACCGGCAGCATCAAGACTGGTCGTTTGGTGGCAGAAGCGTGTGCACGACGGCTCATACCGGCGTTTCTCGAGTTGGGTGGCAAAGACCCCGCAATCGTCACCGAGCATGCGGATCTAGAGCGTGCGGCCACTTCGGTTCTTCGCGGGTCGGTATTCGCCATGGGTCAGATCTGTTTTTCGGTTGAGCGGGTGTATGTCCATGAGTCCGTTTACGACGATTTCGTTGCTTTGTTGGCGGGCAAGTCGCAAGCGCTGGAGCTTGCGTACCCAGACCCAGCGCATGGGGATTTGGGCCCGTTTATTCTCGCCAGCCAAGCAGCGATCGTTGATTCCCACATCGATGATGCGGTATCGCAGGGCGCGAAAGTCGTAACCGGTGGCAGAAGTGAAAACCTGGGTGGCGGCCACTACATGCGAGCGACGGTTATCTCTGACGTAACGCACGACATGAAGTTGATGACCGATGAGACCTTCGGGCCGGTTACTCCCGTTATGAAGTACCGCACGGAAGACGAAGCGGTCGCGCTGGCCAACGACTCCGTTTATGGCCTGTCAGCGGCAGTCTTTGCCGGTAGCGAAGAAGAGGCGATGCGTATCGGCCAACAGATCGATGCCGGCGCTGTGGCCCTGCAGGATGCGGCCATCACGATTTACATCCTTCGCGACGCGGAAAAATGTCTTTCAAATCATCTGGAATTGGCGGGTCTCGCATGGGCCCTAACGCGTTGCTGCGTTTTGTCCTTCGCAAAGCTTTGGTGACCAACCGGGGCGGGGTCGCCGACCTGCGCGATCTTGCCGAGCATCGGCGCTGAAAGTTGTAGTCGAGTCCGTATCTGGCTGTTGCAGCCTCTACTTATCAGGTGATTAACGTGGTCGCTTATATTCAACATGTTGGCAGGATCCGATTTGGCTGTGGCGCGTTGGCCGAGCTGGCTAGCGAGCTTCAATTGCTGAGTATCTCTCGGCCATTACTCATGCTGGACGACGGCGTATGCAAAGCCGGTCTGAAGGTAAAAGTGTTTGAAAGCCTACCGCTGGGTGAGCAAACCCCAACGTTTAGTGATTGCCCGAGCCATCCCTCTGAGGACGCGGTGCTTTCGGCATTGCGTGTTTACCAAGACGAGAATTGCGATGGCCTGATTGCCCTGGGCGGCGGTGCGGTTATCGACCTGGCCAAGGGCGTCGCGTTGATGGCGACCCACGAGGGCAAGTTGGCTGACTATGCAGTGGGGAGCGCGCGAGGGGCACAGATTGGTCCCTTTGTCGCGCCGCTGCTTTGCATCCCCACCACTGCCGGCACCGGTAGCGAGGTGGGACGCGGCGCGGGGATCGCAATAGGCTCTGGTGGCGAAAAAGCGATCTTTATGAGCGTAAACCTGGTGCCAAAGGTCGCGCTCTATGACCCGGATCTCACCCTTACGCTTCCCGCGCGGCTGACTGCCGCGACCGGTATTGATGCGCTGGGTCATGCAATCGAAGGGTATCTCTCACCGGCGGTGAACCCGCCAGTCGATGCCATTGCACTGGACGCTATAGAAAGGCTGTGCCGCAACCTGGGCACAGCTGTGGCCAACCCTTCAGATCGCGAAGCTCGTTCGCAGGTGTTGATGGGCGCTATGGAGGGGGGCATGTGCATGTGGAAAGGGTTGGGCTGGGCTCATGCGCTTTCCATTCCTCTGGACACGTTCAATTTGCACCACGGCACGTTGATCGGCTTGCTTCTCCCTGAAACCCTCAAGTGGGCTCGGACGGTTGTCCCGGAAAAGTTCGAGCGCCTTGATCGTGTCCTGGGAGGACGCTGCGAGGACATCGTTTCGGCGCTCGTATCGGAGATCGGTTTGCCTCGTACGTTGAGTTCATTGGGCGTGCCCTTCGACGCGTTGCCCGAAGTCGCCGAGGCAGCCACTAAAAGTGTCTTTAACCGGACTGCACCGTTACCCGCCGAAGCACCTTACTTCCTGGACCTTTTGCACAAGGTCTACTGAACACACTGCTTTTGAATCGTACAGGCCTGAATGGCTGCCGCCGTAAGGCGAGCAGTCGTTCAGAGGAGCTCATAATAAAAATGCCTGATCAAATCAAACACGGCCCGAACAAACACGACAACAGCGAAGACTGGCGCTCGGCGATGTTCGCCACGCCCGACGTCGACTTACGCGCCTCGCCAGACGGTAGCCTCTACCTCACTTCACGCCGCATTTTGAGTGCGCGCGTACGCACGGTCGTCGACTGGCTGGAGCAGTGGGCGCATGACACGCCAGCCGCTGTATTTATTTCCGAGGCGATGTCGAGCGGACAGCGTCAGGGCCTGTCGTACGCCAAAGCGTGGCATGACTCAGGGCGACTTGGCGCGGGGCTGCTTGCAATAGGGCTGAAGCCCGGAGATCGGCTTGCTGTATTTGCACCTAACGGTATCCGCCATATGCGCATCGCACTGGGTGCGCTGCGTGCTGGAATTATCTATGTGCCCATTGCAGCCCAGTATGCCGCGCTGGGTGGGGACAAGGAGAAGCTTGCCAGTGTGCTAGAGAAGCTTAAGCCAGCAGCCGTTTACTGCGACAGCTTTGCCGATGCCCCTTTGGCGGCGAGGGCGGCACGGCTGGTAATCGAGGGCGATGCCGGTTTGGCGCAGCTGTTCGAAGCTGCCGATGGTGTCGACGATCCAGACATCGCCTGGCTTGACCCGTCTGCGCCAGCAAAATTGTTGCTCACCTCAGGCTCCACTGGCCAGCCCAAGCCGGTTCCCTATAGCCACGCCATGATGACGGACAATCTTCTGGCAACCCTGGACGTCTGGCCATTTGTGCTCCGCCGCAAGCCCGTTTTAGTGGACTGGCTGCCTTGGAATCACGCGTTTGGCGGCAATAACAATGTCCACATTGTCCTGTCGCAGGGCGGCACTCTGCATATTGATGAGTCCAGGGGCAAGCCGGAGCGTTTCGACCTCCATGTGCAGAACCTTCGCAGGTTACAGCCCACCTTTCACGGCGCTGTGCCGTCGGGTTGGGCAGCCTTGTTACCGGTGATGGAGGCTGATGACGAGTTTCGCCAGGCGTTCTTCGGCAATCTCGATGCAATGTTCTCTGCCGGTGCGGCAATGGCGCCGGACATTTTCACGCGCTTGTGCCGCAACTCAGCAGCCGTGCGCGGTTTACCGGTGCCCATTCTGACCGGATGGGGTGCGACCGAAACAGGCCCCGGCGCCACGCTTGTACATGCGCCAAATGCTGAGCCCGGCTGGATTGGAACGCCCTTGCCGGGCGCCGAGATTCGCCTAAGCCCCAGTGGGGATAAGTTTGAGCTGAGTGTGCGCGGGCCAAGCGTCATGCGCGGTTATTGGGGCGCTAGCGCCAGCGCAGCAGTCGATGAAGAAGGTTTTTATCGGACGGGCGATGCAGGCCGTTTGGTTGACCCCGAACGCCCAGAGCTCGGTCTGCGTTTCGAGGGTCGGCTAGCTGAAGACTTCAAGCTTGAAAACGGGAGCTGGGTGAATGCCAGCGGCCTTCGGCATGAGCTGCTTAGGCGCGCCGATGGTGCCTTGCACGATGTGGTGATTCTTGGCGCCGATCAGGCGTATATCGCCGCGCTGTGCTGGGTCGCGCGACCCATCAGGCTGGACGATCTGTTCGCGCAGCACAATGCCGAACACGCCAGTCCCACCAAGCGTATCGAACGCTTCGCCATTCTCTCTCCACCGCCCTCGACTTCTGAGTTGACACCGAAAGGTGAACTGGATCGAAACGCGTTGCGTAAAAACCGGCCATTTGAAATCGAGGCGTTATTCAACGCCAAGGGGGCAAGCATGATCGAGGTTGATCAAGGTAAGGACCTCGCCGAACACGTAGGCGCGGAGCTGGGCGTCAGCGATTGGGTACTCGTGGATCGGGAGTTGATCGCCAGCTTCGGGCGGACTACCGGTGATACCCATTGGGTTCACATGGATGAGGAGCGCGCTCGACGCGAAACGCCTTTTGGCGGGGTGATTGCGCATGGCTTTTTGGTGTTGTCGCTGGTGACGGGGCTCTCTACACAGTGTTTCCGGGTGAAGAGGGCAGAGCGCTGGCTTAACTACGGGCTGGACCGAGTCCGGTTTCCCGCGACCGTCGCCGCCGACGCCCGCGTACGTTTGCGACTGACACTGGTTGATATCGGTCAGCAGGCTGGCGGTACGCGTTTGCAGCTTGGCTGCGTCATTGAAATTGAAGGTGGCACGCGCCCGGCAGCGGTGTGTGATTGGCTCTGCATTGTGTTCGATGGAGATGAAAAATGAGTGCGCAGAGGTTTGAAAGTGTAGGCCAGGAGAACAGCTTTCTTGGGCACGTGGGCGGGATCGAGCGAGCGATATCCGAAGGTGTTGTTGAAACCAGACTGCGGATACAGCCCCATCATCTCAACCCCAATGGGTCGGCGCATGGCGGCGTTTTGCTAACCCTTATGGACATTACGCTGGGCATGACGGTCGAGGCATTTCTGAAGTGCGATAACGGCCGGCATCCTGTCACCATTCAGTTGAACAGCAACATGATTGCGCCAGCGCATTTGGGCGCGACCGTCATCGGACGGGCCAATGTCGATGGCAGCACCAGGACCATGAGTTGGGTGAGCGCAAGCCTGGTTTCAGACGGCATCACCTTAATGACCGCCACCGCTGTATTCCGTAATCCCCCATCTGCCGAACGCGCTGCTTAAACCAGCGCTTCGAGTCGAGACCGATAACAACAACGCGCTGCCCATGAGCACCGCACCTACCGAATAATAAGGAGATTAAGGTGACTACCTTAGCGAGCATTCAGCCCCGCACAGCGGGCAAGTTGACGATTGGCTTGTGTTTCTTAGTGGCGTTGCTGGAGGGGCTGGATCTTCAGTCGATCGGCGTCGCGGCGCCCCGTATGGCGCGCGAGTTTCACTTGACCCCAGGCGAGCTTGGCTGGGTTTTTGGTATTAACGCGTTAGGGCTATTGCCGGGTTCCGCGATTGGTGGATGGCTTGCTGACCGCATTGGCCGCAAGAATATGTTGATGCTGGCGGTAGCCTGGTTTGGCATATTTTCCATCTTGACCACCCAGGTCTGGAACCTGGACAGCCTTCTGGTTGCGCGGTTCTTGACCGGTTTGGGCCTGGGTGGCGCGATGCCTACCCTCATTGCCTTGTGCTCGGAAACCACGCCACCGGAGAGGCGCGGTACCGTGGTGGGGGCGATGTACTGCGGCCTGCCGTTCGGCGCTGTGTTTGCCTCTTTGATAGGAATTATCAGCAATGCCGAAGATGCGTGGCGGCACATCTTCTACCTGGGCGGAATCGGCCCACTGCTCACGCTGCCCTTGTTGGCACTGTTCCTGAAAGAGTCCAACCAATACATCAGCGCCAGTGAGAAAGGTGGCGTCCAAGCGTCGGGGGCTGTCGTCGACGCGCTATGGAAAGGTGGACGCGCTAGCACAACACTCGCTCTATGGCTTAGCTACCTGTGCACGCTCATCGTTCTCTATTTCCTGATCAACTGGTTGCCTACCCTGGTGCTCTCTCGCGGGCTGACGCCGCTGCAAGCCAGTAGCGTTCAAATCATGTTTAACATCGGCGCGGGTATCGGTGCCATTTCCATTGCCGCTCTGTTTGACCGGTCAAGCAAACGCGTGGTGGTTATCGCCACCTATATCGCCGTAGTGATCGCGCTTCTGGCGCTCGCCGCCGCCACCAATGGTGTGGCGATGGCTGCGGGTGGACTCTTTGCAGGTTTGTTTCTCACCGGCGCGCAGTCGGTTTTGTACGCGCTGGCCGGCACGGCTTATCCAGTTGCCGTGCGCGGCACGGGGATTGGCGCGGCAGGGGCGGTGGGTCGGCTCGGATCGGTGATCGGGCCTTTGCTGGCGGGCATCCTCTTAGGGCAGGGGCAGAGCGGGGTAATGCTCGTGGCATCCAGTGTCTTGTTGATCGTTTTTGCGGCAGCCGGCCTTCTGAGGGCTAGCCGCAATATCTTCTCGTAAACGCGTTTCGGTTATCGCTTCCACAGTTACCCTGTCACCGCGGTGACCACTCCCAATAACCCGCCACGAGCTTTTCGTGGCGGGTTCATTTCCACGCTGAGAATGCCCAGCGCTGAGGGTCTTATGATCCTTGCCTCCCAACGTATTCCGTCGCTTACGCGCCAAGAAAAATTAGCTGTCGTTCGGGCATGGTTCACCTGCACGAAGCAGCTTGAGCCACTGAAAGAGCCAATTGGCAGGTAGCCAAGCACCGCTAGTGTCGGACCGCGACAGCGCGACGTTCTTTGCGATAAGTGTTCGGGTCGATTGCTCTATGCACACAAAAAAGCCCGCAGCCATTGAGGCCCGGGCTTTTGCGTAGTCTTGGTTAAAGCGCAGGTTGCGGTCTGCGCCGCTATCCCGTTGGCGCTTACCAGAGTTTCAGAGGGTAATCGAGGTAGAACCGGGTTTCGGTGAAATCACGGGAGAAGTCGTTGTTATACGTGGCCTGGCGAAGGCGAACATTCAGCCCTTTAAATGTGCCGGACTGGACCAGGTAGTTCAGCTCGACGTCGCGTTCGTTCTCTTTGGAAGCAGCCGGGTTGTTTGCCAACGTGATATCTCTACCCCGTAGATACCGCAATGTTGCTCCGAGGCCGGGGACACCATAGCTGGTAAAGTCGACGTCGTATCGAAGTTGGGTGCTGCGTTCTTTTGGATTGACGAAGTCCGCTGCCTGTGCGCCTTCTGAGTTGACGTTGACGTCTGTCCCCGCGATGTAGGGCATTGCCGAGGATCCATTTAGCTGCATATAGCCCAGGCCAAACGAGTGCGCGCGCCATTTGTAGGTGAACATGGTGCTCAGCGTGCGGTTGTCTACGGTGCCTGCTTTGGAGGCGCCATCCCCCCGTGCTGTCGAAGAAGCGTATATCGCTTTTAAGCTTGCCTTCGCCCAGTGGCATTGTGTGCAGCAATGCCACGTATTGCTGACGATACAGGTCATCGAGCTCGGCGTAGTAGTAGGTGCCGGTGAGATGGTCATTAAAGGCGTAGTCGGCGCCCGCGAAGCTGAACGAATCGGATAGTCCGCTGGGGTTGAATCGCCCGTTGAGGCTGCTGACGCCCATGCGTTCTTCGTCGGTTGAGTTGCGCAAAATAATACGGTCGACGTTGCCCGCGTGCAGGGTCAGGCCGGGTATTTCCTGTGAGCGCAGGTAGCCGCCTCGGAAGGTTGGAGGAAAGAGCCGTGTGGTAGTAATGGCCAAAATCACTGGGAGTAACGGTTGGAACGTCCCCACTTGTAGGTCGGTTGAGGAATATCGGACTTTGGCGGCTACTCCCAATTTGCTGTATTCGTCGGCCGGCTCCCGGGTCACCGCATCAAAAGGCAATAGACCTGTTCCGCTTCGGCCTGCGCTGGAGTCCAGTTTGATACCGCCCATTGCCAATACATCAAGGCCAAAGCCGAAGGGGCCTTGGGTGTAACCCGAGTTCATGCGCAGGATAAAACCTTGCGCCCACTCCCTGGCCTCAGACGGGCCCGTCCCATTGGCATAGTCCCGGTCGAAATAATAGTTGCGCGAAAGCAAGGTGGCTGAGCTGTCGCTCAGCAGGTCGGCCGTCGCAGGTAGACATACGCCGACGGCGAGCACGCCGACGAGACGGCGATCAATGCGTTTCATAGCTGTTGTACTCCGGTGTTTTGTTTTTATTATTGGAATGCCGTGCGCAGACGCACGGGTGTAGCAAGGCCCCCTGGCGAGGGCCGTGAAGTGATTACCTGTTGAAAATGAAGGGGCGGTTCGCAGCAGGGATGTCCACCGCTGCTGGGTCAAAACGTCTCGTCGGTCGCTAGCGTTTGAGCAGGTCCAGCGCCACATCGACGATCATGTCTTCTTGGCCGCCGACCATCCGTCGTTTGCCCAGCTCGACCAGGATGTCGAGGGTTTTCAGGCCGTACCGGGCGGCGGCGATTTCGGCGTGGCGCAGGAAGCTTGAGTAAACGCCGGCGTAACCGAGTGCCAGCGTTTCGCGGTCTACACGCACGGGCCTGTCCTGCAGCGGACGGACGATGTCATCGGCGGCATCCAACAAGGTGTATAGGTCAGTGCCGTGGTTCCAGCCCAGGCGCTCAGCGGCGGCAATAAACACTTCAAGTGGAGCATTGCCCGCTCCCGCGCCCATGCCTGCAAGGCTGGCATCGATGCGGTCGCAGCCTTCTTCAACGGCGGTGATGGAATTGGCCACGCCTAGCGACAGGTTGTGATGGGCATGCATACCTGTTTCGGTGCTCGGATCTAGCACCGCCTTGAATGCACGGAACCGGTCGCGTACGTCCTGCATGCTCATCGCGCCGCCGGAGTCGGCCATGTACACACAGGTCGCCCCGTAGCTTTCCATCAGCTTGGCCTGCGCGGCCAACTGCTCGGCGGGGATCATGTGACTCATCATTAGAAAACCGACGGTGTCCATCCCCAGCTCGCGGGCATATTCGATATGTTGTTTCGATACGTCTGCTTCAGTGCAATGCGTGGCGATCCGTACTACACGCGCACCGGCACCGTAGGCGGCCTTCAGGTCATGCACCGTACCGATTCCCGGCAGGAGCAGCGTAGCGATTTTGGCTCGACTGATGACATCGAACGCCGCTTCAATCCATTCCAGATCGGTGTGCGCGGCGAAGCCATAGTTGAAGCTGGAGCCTTGCAGCCCGTCGCCGTGTGCGACTTCGATTGAGTCGACGCCGGCTTTATCCAACGCGCGGGCGATGTCCTGAACATTCTGAATGGAGTACTGGTGACGGATTGCGTGGCTGCCGTCGCGCAGAGTGACGTCACTGATGTAAAGCTTGTTGGCAGTTTTGAATGTCATAGCCGTCTCCTCAGGTACTGAGCATCGACAGCGCCATGCGCTCGGCTGTGGCCAAGGCTGCGGATGTCATGATGTCGAGGTTGCCGGCATAGGCCGGTAGATAGTGGGCAGCGCCTTCGACCTCAAGGAAGATTGAGGTTTTCAAGCCGCTAAACGTCCCCAGGCCGGGAATTCGCAAAGGCGCGCTGGGTGGGATGAGTTCGAACTGCACGTTCTGTTTAAGCCGATACCCAGGCACGTATGCGATTACGGCAGCGGCCATTTCTTCAATAGATGCTTGGACGTGCGCCTGGTCGGCGAGGGCGGACAGCACAAATACTGTGTCTCGCATCATCAAGGGCGGTTCAGCCGGGTTCATCACGATGATGGCTTTACCCTTGGTGGCCCCACCGATCACTTCGATCGCTTTGGAGGTGGTTTCGGTGAACTCGTCGATGTTGGCGCGAGTGCCAGGCCCTGCCGATTTGCTGGCGATGGAGGCGACGATCTCGGCGTAATGCACCTTGGTGATACGCGACACGGCTGCAACCATTGGAATGGTTGCCTGCCCGCCACACGTGACCATGTTGACGTTGAGTTGCTCGAGGTTCTGCTCCAGATTCACCACCGGCACGCAGTAGGGACCAATGGCCGCAGGTGTCAGGTCGATCAAACGAATGCCAGGTTTTACTGCGCGCAGAAACGCATCATTCTTCACGTGCGCGCCAGCCGAGGTGGCATCAAAGACAAAATCGATGTGTTGGAAAACGTCCATTTTGGACAGCCCCTCAACCCCTTCATGGGTGACTTGCACTCCCATACGTTGCGCTCGGGCCAGACCGTCGGATGCCGGGTCGATGCCGACCATCACTGCCATTTCCAAGTGCTTTGCGTTGCGCAAAATCTTGATCATCAGGTCGGTACCGATATTCCCGGAACCCACTACGGCGACTTTTAGTTTTTTTCATGGTTGTTGCCTCACTTGTGCGCTGGCCACGGATCTCTCGGCACTAAAATTCAAGCTGACTCGGCCTACGCCGTCGATCTCAGCCTCGAATCGGTCACCCCCAGCCACCGCCACCATGGGCCCCAATGCGCCGGTTAAGATGATGTCCCCGGCGCGCAGCGGATCGCCCAGACGAGCGAGGGTCCGCGCCAGCCAAGCAGCTGCATTCAATGGGTGGCCGAGGCATTCTGCTCCACTACCGCTGGACACCAGCTCACCGTTGCGGGTCATGCGCATGCTGGCTTGACGCAGGTCTAGCCCGTCCAGGCGCCGGGCCGGGCCGCCCAGTACAAACGCGCCGCTCGATGCGTTGTCTGCCACGGTGTCGACGAAGCGAATGTTCCAGTCCTGGATGCGGCTGCCGACTATTTCGAGTGCTGGCATAACCCAACCAACGGAAACTGCTACATCAGCAAACGTGGTGTCTGCAAAGGGCAGATCACGCTCCAGAACCAAGGCGATCTCGGCTTCTATTTTTGGCTGCAGGACGCGGCTGGCAGACACGGTCTCGTTATCGCCGTAGCACATGGCCGCGAATAAGGTGCCGAAGTCCGGCTGATCCACCCCCAGTTGCTGTTGTACTTTTGGGTTGGTCAGACCAATCTTGCGACCCACAACACGGCCGCCATTGGCGACAACGTGAGCCACGTTGAGGCGCTGAATGGCGTAAGCCGCATCGGCATTGTCTTCGCCGATCTGTTCGCGCAGCGGCGCAATCGCTTGGCGGTGAGCGTCCGCGTTACGCAGGTCAGCAGCGAGCTGATCGAGTTTTTCTTGAGCAGGGTGCATGTCGGCCTCGATCATCAGTGGGTCAGGAAGTCCAACACCAGGCGGTTGTACGTCTCGGCGTGTTCCCACTGAGCCCAGTGGCCGCAACGGTTGAACACATGCAGTTGGGCATCCGGTAGGCCGGCCAGCAGGCGCAGGCCGGTGTCCATGGGCACGAACCGATCTTCACGGCCCCAGACGATCAGGGTTTGGGCTTTGATCTCGTGCAGGCGGTGGCTGACATCGGGGAATTGTTTGGGGTTCAGCGTGCTGCTTTTGACAAAGTTTTCCAGGTGTTCCTTACGGGCAAGAATGTTGTCCAAGCGCGTCTGGAACAACTCTTCAGTCATGCTGCTGGCGTCAAAGACGAAGACGGTCATCATCTTCTTCAGGTTCTCAATCGTGGGATCGCGATACAGCGCGCCGATCAACTTGATGCCCTCGGTGGGCTGCGCCACAAAGGCACTGTTGCCGCCTGTACCGCCGCCCATCAGCACCAATTTGCCAATGCGTTCGGGGTAGTCGAGCGCGAATGCCACCGTGGTGTGGGCGCCCATCGAGTTGCCTACGATGTGCACCTGGTCGAGGTCTAGCGCATCAAGTAAACCCTTGAGCGCTTGTGCGTTGAGATGCGAGCGCGAGCCTTCGCTGACGATTGGATCGCTTTTGCTCCAGCCTGGGCAGTCCATCAGAATGACGCGGTAACCGGCATTCACCAGCGGCTCAATGTTGCGGTTGAAGTTGGCCCACCCGCTTGCGCCAGGCCCGGAGCCATGGAGCATCACTACGGTTTCAGTGCCTTGGCCTATGTCGTTGTAATGCAGTTGCAAGTCCAGCTTGCCCTCACGGATACGTACCAGGTGGCTGGTGGAGGACTCAGTAAATGCGGCGGAAGTCATAGGGGTTCCTTGTATTCAGAAGTGACTGTTCACGGGGTGGGCGCCAAGACCGGCGAAACCGGCAATCCATTCAGGAATAGGGCGGTAGTAGCGCCCCTCGCACTCGTAGGGACCGAAGGCTGATAGCGCGGCGAAGGCGCAGACCCACGTCTTGACCTCGTGAGTGGACTTGCCGGCCAGGGCCGACAGCTCATCGTTGCCCAGGGCATCGAGATTGCTCAGGCACCCTTGCTCCAGGGTGTCAAGAAACTGCTGATCCCACGTCGGATTGAGGGGGTGCAGACAGTTCTGGTCTTCAATGAAATGGTGGGCGGCCTGAATGACGCGTTTCTGGCGTGCATCACGCTCATCAGCCGACAGATTTCGGCCACTGCCCATCAAGTAGTCGGCCATGGTCGCGTCCACATGGGCCAACTCGGGCACTGGCGGTTGGTGAGACAAACCGCCGGAGGCAAGAAACAGCACCCGTTTATTCAGAGTACGTGCCCACTGTCCGAGGGCTTCGCCAAGCAAGCGGGCACGCTTAAAGCGGGGCAGGGGGACTGCAACTGAGTTAATGAAAACTGGAATGACCGGGCAGGCTTGCAACCCGCCCAGCAGCGACTCCAGGGGTTGGGCGAACGCGTGGTCAACCTGCATGCGGTAAGACACTGCGATGTCGATACCGGCATCGAGCAACGCACCAGCGCAGTTCTCGGCTAAAGCTTTGGGGACGTCCAGCGGTCCGGCAGGCGTACCAAAATCACCAATTGAATGGGCGGCTACGCCTATACAAAACGCCGGCATAACGTCGTAGAAAAAGCCGTTGTAATGGTCGGGCCCCAACAACACGATCAGTTCTGGATCGAAACGCGCAATTCGGGCGCGGGCCTCGCTGATCATGTCCTCGACTTCCGCGAGCACCTCGGGTGCCGGATCGACGTAACCCACCAGTGGCGTGTGCGACAGGCACTGCAGATACACACTCATATCAGGCCACCTTGCTGGCAGCAGGCGCTGCAGTGCGTTGTGGTAATGCGTGTAGCGCCAACGCCAGCTTGTCACAGGTTTGACCAAGCGTTTGCGGGATAGCCAAACCCGCAACGAAGCGATCAGGGCGCAGTACTGCAATGGAGGATGAGCCGCGTGCGAACCACTCTTTCAGGCGCCCGGTGGTATCGCCAACGCGAATGACATCGTCGCCACCGCTGCGGGCTGCCTTGAGCTGGACGTCGGGTATGACCTGGATGAACCGCGCGCCCAGGGCTTGCCACTGTTGGAGTTGCGCGGCATTCAGCCCCCATGTCGGGTCGCAGCCCCACGCGATGATGGCGAACCCGTTGCCGATGACGTCATCAAGCAAGGCGGTTTCACCTGCTTCTGTGAGCACCTTGGGCTGTATAAACATCTTGCCTACAGGCGAAGCCTTATCCGTCGATGCGACCAATGCCCCCTGCGTGTATTGCGGCATGGGCTTAAAGCGCATTTCCAGGAAGTAGCGCTTGATAGGGGGGAGGTAGTTGAGTAACCACGAAACCCCGTCGCGCAGCGAGCCTTGCCAGCGTTTCGGTGGGGCCAGCACGTGCCCGGCAAGCACAGAAAGATCGATCATCGCTTTCGCGTGGTCGCGACGTTCCAGTTGGTAGGTATCCAGCAGGTGGTCGGCCGCCAGCCCCTTGACCACCAACGACAGCTTCCATGCCAGGTTGGACGCGTCGCGCATGCCGCTGTTGTAACCCTGTCCTTGCCACACGGGCATGATGTGCGCCGCATCACCGGCTAGCAGCAGCCGGCCTTGCCGAAACTGCCCGGCCAGCCGTGCGTTGTGGGTGTAAACCCGGCTGCGAATCAGCTCAATGTTGTCGGGGTTTGGCAGCACCTTGCCAAGCAGTTTGCGCATGCTTTCGGGCTTGGTCAGTTCTGCTTCGGTCTCGCCGGGCATGACCATAAACTCGAAGCGCCGAACGCCATGAGGCAGCGCGGCAGAAACATAGGGGCGCTTAGGATCGCAACACATGTACAGATGTGGCGTACCGAGCGGATCGTTAGCGAGGTCCAGAACGATCCACTGATTGGGTGCAGTCTTTCCTTCAAAACTGATATCGAGGACGCGGCGAACCAAACTGTTGCCGCCATCGCACGCGACCACGTAGCGGGCCCGCAAGGTATCTTCATGGCCGCTTTGGTCTTTCAGGCGCAGGCTCACTGCGGTTTCGTTTTGCTCAAAATCCTGAAGCTCAAGACCGAAGAGCACCTTGACGTTGTTGAAACGCTGCAGCCCTTCAAACAACACGCGGTCGGCCAACGGTTGGATAAATGCGTTGCGCCGCGACCAGCCAAACTCATCGGTCTTGGGCTGGATATCGGCAAAACAACGACCCCTAGGCGTCATGAAACGCATGGCGTGTGACGGCGTTGTATGCGGCAGTACTGCCTGCGCCAACCCCACCGCCTGGAAGGTGCGCAGGCTTTCGTCGTCAAGGCCAATGGCGCGGGGGTAGTCGATTAGGGTGTCGAGCTTTTCCACCACCGTAACATTCACACCACATTGGCCCAAATAGTTGGCGATCATTAGGCCGACGGGACCGGCGCCGATGATGGCAACGTCGGTGGTGTGCTCAGGAGGGTAAGCAGATGACGTGGAATTCATGTGTATCTCCGTACTGCACTTTTTGAATTTCTTGTGCAGCGGAGTATGGAAATCACCTGGGTGGTGTACAACGGCAACAGTTGCTAGTGTGCACCTAGTGCACAAGGTACATTTTCATGGTGTGGACAGTACGATGAGCGAGACCCATTACAAGTCAGTACGCGGGCTAACGCGCGGGCTGGCGCTAATTAACGCTCTAAACCGCTTCGACGGAGGGGCCAGCGTCGCCCAGTTGGCCGAGCAGAGCGGGCTGCATCGCACAACGGTACGCAGGTTGCTGGAGACGCTCCAAACCGAAGGATATGTGCGCCGCAGTGAATCAGATGACAGTTATTGTTTAAGTCTGAAAGTGCGTGAACTGAGCGAGGGGTATCGCGACGACCAGTGGATTTCGTCCCTCGCTGCGCCATTGCTTGGCGGTTTGCTACAAGAAGTTGTCTGGCCAACTGATCTATGCACGTTGGATGTCGACGCCATGGTCATACGGGAGACCACGCACCGTTTCAGTCGTTTGTCCTTTCATCGGTCGATGGTGGGCCGACGTTTGCCGTTGCTCAGCACGGCAACCGGACGGGCGTACTTTGCATTTTGTCCGCCCGCCGAACGCGAAGGGCTGATTGAGTTGATGATTAGCCGTGACGATGAACAGTCAGTGCTAGCTGCAGACCGGCGTTTCGTAGATCGCCTTGTGGACCACACGCTTGCTAAAGGCTATGGGGAAAACCGATCTCATTGGGCTGAAGAGCGCAAAATTGCTGCCATTGCAGTTCCGGTCGTTCATGAGGAGAGGGTGATGGCCTGTCTGAACCTTGTCTACATCGCTAAAGCGATGCCAATTGAGGAAGCCGCTCGCCGGTACCTGCCAGCCATGCGCCATGTTGTGCAGCTGATTCAGGCTGGGATGACGTGACGCCAGCAAGCGCGAAGGAGATAGGTCGGTAACTTTACTCCATCGCTCACACGCCGCCTCTAGTCTCGAGCCCGCGAGAGTTCGTTGACCACGGCATCGAAGAGAAGTCTGCTGGTCGTTTCTACATCCTTGCGCGCGACCTGCTGTGCGGCCAGAGAGAGCGCGCCCTGTGACGCAGCCCACACTGCGCGCGCCGCCATATCGACGGGCTGATTAAAGCGCCCTGTATCGACTAAACGCTGCACTCTGGCCTTCATTAGCGCGTAACCCTCCGCGCCCAAGTCAGGGTTGGCGCCCACGTGTTGCGCGAACAGTGCATAAAGGGAAGGTCGCTTCAGCGCGAACTCCACGGCCACATCCCAACCGAAACGCAGTTGTTCCACTAAGTCGGCGGTGTCGGCAGGGGCGCGTTTGCGTTTCATAAAATCGGCCATTGCGCGTCGCACGAGTGCCAACTCCAGCCCGACCTTGTCGCCGAAGTGGTGGTAAAGCGTTGGCGCTTTGACGCCGGCAGCTTCACAAACCGCTCGCGTGGTTAACCTCACAGGGCCGTGCTGCTCAAGCAACCCGGCGGCTGCGTCCAAGATTACCGTTTCAGTATCCATGTCTAATTCAAATTCTATGTTGGCGGCATGAGGATCCAATGCTTGCTTACTATGTATCACCGATATACCTTATGTATATCTATGATATAGAGGTGTCACATGAAATCCACATGCTTGGTTACGGGGGCTCCGGCTTTGTCGGTAGCCGACTTATCCAAATTCTACAGCAGCATGGGTGGCAGGTGCGCGCCCTGGCGCGCAGTGATGAAGCGCTGCGAACTGTTCGCGCACTGGGCGCTGAACCTGTGCGAGGGTCGTTGGAAGACCGAGCTTCCTTGATCGCTGCTGCACAGGGGTGCAGCGTAGTCTTCCACGTAGCGGCACATTTCAGGCTATGGGGCGACTGGGCTGAGTTCGAGCGTTCGAATGTGCAAGGTACCCGTAACGTTCTGGATGCGGCTGCAAGCGCATCCGTCGAGCGCTTTGTGCAGTTGGGTGCGGCAGCAGTCGTAATGGGGATCTTGAGCCGATGTTCGGCGTAAATGAAGCGTTGCCTCGGCAGGAGCGCGACTGGGCACCCTACAGCGCCTCCAAGGCGCGCAGTGAAACGCTGGTGCTAGCCGCCAATCGCCCGGGGGTTTTCGAAACCGTGGTTGTACGTCCCCCGATGATTTGGGGGCCAAATATGCCGACCTTGGATCACATGATCGAGACCGTGAAGGCAGGTCAATTCCGCTGGGTCGGCGGTGGTTCGCAAGCGATGTCCACCGCACACGTCGACAACGTCTGTCTAGCGCTCGAACTGGCAGCAGAGAAAGGCCCTGGCGGCGAGGCCTATTTCGTCAGTGATGGAAACGACAGCACGCTTAAAAACGTGATCTCTGGCCTGCTACAGACGCGCGGCATTGCACCACCGCGTTCCTCCGCTCCGTTGCCAGTGGCCTGGGCGATGGCCAGCGTAACGGAGTGGGTATGGCGCACGTTCTCACGTCCGGGTGAACCGCCGATGACGCGCCAAATGCTGCGCCTGATTGGCGCGCCATTCACGCTGGACATCGGTAAAGCCCGGCGCGACTTGGGTTATGTGCCCGTTATTTCGAGAGAGCAGGGGCTCGAGGCGATGAGGTCCAGCTAAGTCAGATTGCTCTGCCAAAACAACGTGCGCAGCACTGGGCAGTCGTCCAGCGGCATCAACCTTGGGGCGTTTCATGCGAAGGCGGGTTACGGAAATAAAGGCGAGAGCGAGGCGCGCGGGCGCATTCCTTTCCGGTATGACCATGCTGGTAGGGCTGGTAGGGCTGCTCGGCTGTACGACGCAACATGCCGACCCGGCGACCAATCACTTTGATGGGCGCAAGTTCCGAAACGCCGAGCCGCCCCCTGCATATGCATTTTGGGGCTTCTTACGCTGGCCACTGTTCGAGCTGGGTGTAGCTTGTCCGAGAAGTGTTCAGTGACCATGACCGCCCGCCCCTGCGTGTCTGCGGCAACATCATTAGTATGTTCTACGTCGGGCACGCCACCGTTGCACTGCAGGTGGTAGGCATGAGTATTTTGACGGATCCGGTTTTGGCCGAGCGGGCGTCACCGGTTTTATACGCCAGTCCCAAGCGTGTGCGTAACCCAGCGTGGAACTTGAGGACCTGCCCGCAATAGACTTGGCGCTCGTCTCTCACAACCACTACGACCACTACGACCACTTGGACGCTGCCGCACTCGTGCGGCTTTGGCGGCCTGACCGTTTCTTCATAGTTACGGCATTGGGCTATCTGAGCTCAGTGCGCGAAAAGTACAAAAACCTGCGGGCTGTCGAACTCGAATGGGGAGAGGCAGTTGATAGGCGGACCTTCGCATCGCCGCTGAACCAATGCAACAGTGGGCCGTATTCGTGGTGAAAAAAACACCGGTCGGCTCGATCTATTTTGCTGGTGACATCAGTTACGGGAGTGATGAGTATTCCCAGTCTTCGTGGCGCTGTACAGCCAAACGGTAAGCCGCTCCATGTACAGGGTTTTAGCGGCATTCAACAAGGTTGCGATACGCAATGCCAGGCACTTCAGGCCTCAAGTCGATTAGGTGTGCGCCTGGTTGGCTTGGATCCGGCGATGAACTGGTGTACCGCCAGGAGTACCCAAAAGTGCCGGGTTTGACTGAGGCTCCCGGGGTTAAGTAGCCTCGGGAGTGGTTACTGGATTGTCTAAGTGAAGCGACGGATCGCAGGATACCAAGGACATTTCGCTTGCTCGCCATTGCACGGAGAAGACCAATGTGCCGGCGAGCAGCAAACAATGGGTTGAGGTATTTCGGCGATTGAGTTTAGGACTGAGGGTTGAGGGGACTGGTTGATGCGGTATGTCCGGTACCTATGGTCATGAATCACGTAATCAGGAGACATCGCCGACTATTTTTGATCAGTCATGGAAACTGAAGCTTGCAGATGACATAGGAGGAGAGCCCTTTGCTACTGGTTACTCGTGCCGTAGCCAGGTGAAACGCCTTTCTGATCGAGCCTTGAGGCACCCACTGGAGATGCTTCTGGAGGTGTATCGGGACATCTAGGCAAACGACTGTTTTTGGCCGATCAGGATGTGCTGTACCTATCGATGTACCCATAAACCGCATACTCCACACGACGAAGCAAACATTGCGCATCGTGTTCACCTCGAAGCCCGGCGGCATCCACCATTCCTTTAATGATGGCGAGCAGGTCCTCGCATAATTGATTATTAGTCACCGGCGCCAGCGAAGTGTCTTTAAGCAAGTTACACAGAATATTCGAGATAGCTGTCCCCGCTTGATTCACGTCTTCCTGTATAGGCAGCCTTGCCTCTTCGATGTCCAGCATCCGGGCCAGAACAGGCCGTCGCAGTTGGTGCCGAACAGCAATTTCAAGCATTCCTTGCAAGGCCGCCATACCTTTTGAGGTTGCTTCCAAGGCAGCGAGCTCAGCAAGTAGTAACCCCATCTCTCTCTCAATCAGCGCACGCGTAATTGATGTCTTGTTCGGAAAGTATTGGTACAGGGATCCAATGCTTACGCCAGCGTACTGGGCAATAGCGTTTGTTGAATAGCCAGCAAAGCCTGCCGTTTCAAGAATGTGAGCTGCACCTTCCAGAATCGCCGCGACTGTGCTTGAGGAGCGGCTCTGTCTTGGCGTTTTTCGAGGGTTTAGCGTTGTTTCGATAGAAGGTTTTTTCATAGTGGGAAGGCGAGTTGTCAACGTGAGGTTTTGCTCACATTCTATTGTCTTAGCAACCAGATAGCGACCACTATGAAAACGCCCGTTGATGATTTGATAATGCTACGGCCATACGTTGTAGCGGCAGTTGAGCGAGCTGGCAGCTTGCTTCTATCGCGCTTTAGAGCGTCTGCGAGACCGGCAGACATTGAGAGTATTTTGACTTCGATTGAGGAAAACGACGCTGCTGTTATCCATCCCTTGCGCGAGGCTCTATTGGCTGCATTGCCAGGCAGCCGCTGGGTGGAAAATGAGGAAGGTGAGGGCGCAATGCCGGCGGGAGATTGGTGGATCGTCGATCCAGTGGAAGGAAATATTAATCATATCCACGGGCGGAATGGTTGGGGTGTGACCGCTACGCTAATTCGGGACGGCGCAGCGGTGCTCACCGTTGCAACGGTTCCACTGGCCGGGGAAATCTACACGGCTATTGAAGGCAACGGTGCTTTTCTGAATGACGTTGCGCTTGTTACTTCAGCGAAGCGGGAGCTGAACGCCGCGATTGTGGGGACCTGTCAGGCCTCGCCCTGGGGAAGATGTCGCCACCTACGCCCGTGTGGGCTGCTCAGTAGAAGTCATGCTGGCAAATGCGTTGCTCGTTCGCATGTCGGTTCCCTCTACCCTCGAATTGCTCGAAGTCGCATCAGGAAAGATCGATGCGTTCTGGCAGTTCAGCCAAATTCGCTCCGGCCTTGCTTCGGGCGCTCTTTTGGTTAAAGAGGCAGGCGGAAGTGTGTCTGATTGCCGAGGTGAAAAATGGACTTTTGAGAGCAAGGATTTTGTTGCTGCCGCTCCTGGTGTGCACGCTGTAATGATCGAGTGCCTTAACCAAACCCAACATTTGACCGTAGAGCAGTGCGTATGAAAACTTACGCAGTTGTGGGCGCAAGCAGTGGGACAGGGCGCTATCTGACTCAGTTACTTGCAGACAGAGGTGACAGGGTCCGAGCCATTTCTCGTCATCCGCCTGAGCAGCGGTCAGGTGTAGAGCCGTATGCAGCTGACGTAACTGATCGTGATGCCACAAACGTGGCACTCGCATCCCCCTTCGATGCCGTATTTTTCACCGTCGACATTCATGGTCTGACACAGTCCCGCGAGTCTATTCGTGCTGTGATGTATGATGGGTGTGTCAACGTGATGAACGCGGCGCTGGCGGGTGGAGCCAAGCGTTTCGTACTGCTTTCCGTCATAGGTGCCGATCAACCATCGTGGGTGTGGTGGATTTTGAACTCCTTGAAGCGCGGGATGCAGCGAAATATCGTCGACCGGGAACAAGCCCTGAAAGCGTCTGGGATGCCATATGTCATCATTCGCGCACCAAAGCTTAAAGACGGGCCTGTAGGCACTGTGCCCCTCGCGGCCACGCCGTCTCGGCATCGACTGGATATGAAGTTGGGTATTTTTCGATCTGAACTGGCTATGGCGCTTCTCGCTGCAGCTGACGGAGCTCCGAAAAACTCTCAGTGGGACGTGTTTACCGCCGAGGCCGGCCCGGTAACAGCGTGGCTAGATTCAATCAAAGGAAGCGGGCGAATATGATGCTCGTAGTGAAAGCGAGCATGCGTAAAGCTTCTGTAAGCAAGCCTTGAGAGTTCTCAGGTTGGACATCACGGAACAAACGGGTGTCCGGCTTCATTAGGCCACTACAAGATGCATCGGTCGCCTTTCAGCCGGTATCCGGCCGCCTAGATAGCGATGCCTCTGTTCTTCCCCTTGCCGCCACGGCCGAAGGGAAGCCCGTGGCCGACGCTTTCGCAGATGACGGGGCACTCTACAGCCCTGAACATTCGAAATCGATAGCACTGCACACTGCAGAAATTCGTAGCGTCGTCCGTTTCAGCCGTGCTTTGTAAGGGTCTGGCAGACACACCTTGCTGATGCTTAAACTGCTACCTTTCGTTTTTGGGTGTGATGGAGCCTACTTATAGGGGTAGGCTCCACCCCTTCTGATGTCCTACGATTCGACGACGCCATCTAGTAGCGTCGTCCCATAGGAGTTGTCCACTACGCATAGCCACTTTTCCGAGATTTGTCGAAACACGTAGGTCGCTCTGCGCGAAATCTCAGCGTCTTTCCAGACTGCCGTTATGCATTATGCAGGGCATACCACGCTGAATCGCCCCGGATTCTCTAGACACCTTGCAAGCTCATTGCGTAACGTTTTTTCAAACTCCTACCGGTGACAGCTGATCGTTGAAACCATGGCGGCGTTTTGCGTTGTAGAACATTTCGATGTAATCAAACACATCACTGCGAGCATCTTGTCGCGAGGTGTAGATTT